TTAGCAAAGAGGATGCTGTTTCTCGTGTATCTCTAAATGTAAATTTGTTTGCAAATTAGAGAGGAATGCCAACAATAACAGAAATATGTTTGCCTGTAAGTGCTTTGTCGATTTGAAAGGAATTGCGGCCTGTTGCAGCGGCGCAGAGTACATTCTTTTTCCAGAATAACATGAACACATACCAGGAAATATGGTGATGTGCTATATGTTTACAGAGCAGCAGTTGATTTAAAGTGGGTATAAGACAGGAGATGAAATAGTGCAGAGGAATCCGCAGGCCACAGTGTCTATATTATTACAGTGTGTCGCTCAAGTTCAAAAACACCAAAGAATTGCAGCTTATTGACAAAAATCAGGAACAAAAAAGACTTGTGGGTTATCGTTTGAATGGGTGTTTGACAAGAGGATATTAGCTTGCCACAGACACTGGAACACACAAGTTACACATAAAAAAACAGATTTTCTTGCCCACTTCTGTTGGTTGGTTTTATTTAGGGCCGAAGTCCAGATCCAAAGCGAACTGCAAATCAATCAAAGACTTCACCATGTTCCACTTATTACATTTTCTTCTGATATATTTTCTTCTGTTTTTCAATTTAGGATCAACAGTTTATTGCGTTTACGATCTCTTTTAAATAAACACACTGGAAAGATGCAGCAAGATGATATACAGGCAAATACATGTATCATATATACACTTATAATTTGTCTTTGCCTAATAAAGAAACAAAAGAAATAAAATCGAAAATAAAAAAATAAACATTTTCCAGAGATTCCACCACATATGATTCTTCGTGACAAATCTTTATTAGTGTGTGTGCCGCATGTGGCACACGCTACAGACTGCGAGGCCACATGGAGCCAGCTGTTGTGTGTGTTTGTGTGTGAAAGTTACACATTCATTTTCCTGCAGAGTTGAACTATTTGACTTTGTTAATTTGGTTGATTTTGTTTTTGTTCCATGATGGACTATCACAGTAAAACACACTCAGGAGTTTTGCTGCTGCGTCCTTACCTGGTCTGGTATGACCGGTAGCTTACGGTGGCTAATATTAGCACATTTTAGATCTGTAGCTGTGTAACTGGCGTTACTCAGTCAATCTTGACATTTTATTCTTATCCTGCGATTGTTATTTGTTGTCACAGTTACTGTTGTCAAGCGAATTTACATTGTCTCACAAAAACAGCACCCCTGTTGTTTGCAAGAAAGTCGTTTCCTGTGAGAACTGTAGATTATCCAAAGTAACAGCGAACATTGTTTCTTGAAAGAAAGCCGCTGTCATGTTTATCAAATATCATTTCTCAGTGCTGGAAACACCAAAAACAAAATCCCATTCCCCTCTGTTGAGTTGAGGTGGAGGCAGAAATCTCAGGTGTCTCAGAACTACAAAATAATATCACAACTATCTACCAAAGCTCAGATTACACTGGCTGTTCCCTCCGTCCATGTCTCCAAGGTTTCAGACTGCAGATCAGAATGGATCATAAACACTGACCGCAGCTGTCAACACATCCTCATACACAGATATGTAGTGTGGTGTCTATTCATCCCAGGTTGAGAAAAACACAGTCTCACCTTAAGGTTTGTTTTTTAGCAGATGAGGTAAAAATGTAAATGTTCAAATTTCCCTCAGATTCAAAGTAAAGTTTCACATCAGAAACAGCAAATGAGAAACAAATCTCACCAAAACTGCTAAACTGACTTTAGTTTAGTAGCTGTTGTAGAGCTTTTGATCACTGCACATTATCTTCATCAGCCCTTTTGTAATGTCGGTGACGTCACCCTGTAAAGGAGCTATTTGTAAATTTGCTATTGCTACATAGCTAACGCTAGCATAAACAGCTGTTTACTCACTAGTCTAGAATAATGTTGGCAGAGCTGTCTGCAGAGGTGGAAAGCAACTACTACTGAAGTTAAAGTCTTTTTCTTCTACTGAAGTTAGCAAGCTAGATAGCGAACCCCTGTGGCCTCCAGTCTCAGAGGGCGCATTACAACCTCTTTTCTTGTAAACGCAACGATGGCTGAAGCTCTTGTGAGGTGACGATCACCATCATCCGCTTCCAGCAGGAAACTACGTTCAGCGGCAGAGAAAACATACAAATGGCTCCTTCACTGGTGTTTTGTAAATCTCTGTAATATAATTTGTCACATACGGTACATGTAGCTGACAGCACTGTTAAATTTATCTTTGCCAACATTACCATAGTCTTTGTTCGTCATCATTTTTGGGAGCACCACTGAGAGTCTGGACTTCATCACCTCCATCACTCCCCCTGCCATCATCTCCTTTTTCATTGTCAGCTTTGTTTTCATCAATTTCACCTTCCCATCATCATTTCCGTGACATTCATCGTTACCACGCGGGCATCGGATCTGCCTCCTGACGACCAGGTGAGAGACGATGATGATTAATAGAACATGTGGCCTGCTTCCACTTGCAGTTAGAGCTGATGTGCAGGCAAAACATTTATAAATAGACAAATCTTCTTTTTTCAGCCTATCAGTGTGGTCATTAATTTCCTGTAACTGGTGCACTTTGAGTGTGTAGCCTGGGTGCTCTGATGTGTCATCAGTTCATCAGTATAATGTGCTGTGGCTCTGGTGACTCTGGTGCATCCAGCAGACTTGTGGCTTGGCAGGACGGGGACAGTGTGCTGTAAAAGTGCTGGTTTGGCTGAAGAACGAGGAGAAACTGTGTGTGGAATGAACGAAATCTCCTCCCGCTGCCATTTTCTGACTCCAGACAAACACTTGACAAGGTTTCACTGCGAGGGCCAAACAGGCTGCATCAGGCTTAATGGTTATTTATTACATCGAACGTCCCTATGAGATGTATTTATGTGAACTCTGTGCATCGTGTTACTAATGGAGATGATTTTTCAGCTGGCCTGGTTTGGCCAAAGCACAAGCTGAAGAGTTTCATAGTTTCTCCTCTACATCTCCACAGAGTTACAGCCGTCCATTAGCCTGCTTTCCTTCACAGGACCAGCTCCTCGTTTGCCACGACCATTCATTTCTTCATTCATTCATTTTTCCACTGTCAGCAGCCATTGTGTGCTTTGGGTTCGAGTCGGAATGTGTCAGTAATGGTACACCTTACCCTGCAGGCTCCTTCAGACAGGAAGCAGTGGTGGATGGGTAGGTTTTAGGTTCTGTCACACAGTGATGTCATTCTAAAACAACAGCAGAGCCACAGTGTGATTTATGGACTGTAGACAGTCGAGTGTATCTGATGTGCATCAACCTTCCTTCATACGCTTGGCAGCAGCTGTTTCCCACAGTTCGCTGCATTTCCTGGTTGCTGACTAGCTGCTAGACTTCTGTGATATTGACAACTTTCAAAAACACTTCAAGGTAGGGGGGTGTGTGACTTGAGAGAGGTATGGTTTTTATTTTGAATTGAAATGAGTGTATAGCATTCTGATACAGAAAAGGTCAGAGGAGGAAATCCAGTTGTTCGCCTCGTCACACCAGGTTACACCCGTGTTTAAATCTAGTCTTGGGAACCTAAATAACAATCTCTGAAGTCACATCAAACCTGCATGTATGTATGTGGCACTTGTCTTTTCACGCTGACAATATGGCAGTGATTAAAACGGCAGTATCCAAAAAAAAATCTGCTGTGCAGCATGAGACCCAGAAAATATTGAGGGCATAGTTCTGTTTCCTCACAGATTTACAGTTTTTCCTGGCTCACGATGAGGTGGAGATGGTGCCATCCTGATCATGTGCAAACACACACACACACACACACGCATGTTCACCGCCTTCAACCGACTCCAGAAAACGCTTTTTACAAGCAACTTTTTTTTTTTTTAGGAGATCCAGTGAATCCCGAGGAATTTCCAAAAGGACGACAATAAACTCTTCACAATTTAGTAGAATTCACCATGTGCGTTTTCACAGTTTCATGACATTTAAAGACCCACAACAAACCGTTGCTGCCTTTGTGTCACATTTAGAAATTCACCATCAGTGTCTCAAAATTTTCTTTAAATCTTCTGAATATTTTTCCAGCTGACTGAAACATTTTTCTCATTTTTTTTGATTTGTTTATGCTTCTGTCATTCTTCCAAAATTCAGATTATTTTACAGTGAGGAAGGTTCCCCCATGTCCAGAACCAAACGACTGTGTTTGATTTAACATTTTCCTGTGACGTGTTTTTTCTGTCGTTGTCTTCGTCTGATATCAAAACAAACAAACTTGAATTATTCCAGGTCTCAGGAGGATTTGTAGTTTCAAGTATGTTTGGGGAAGATGAATAAAAAAGTGACGTTGAAATCACATAAACGGCGACTTTGCGTTGCGTTAAACACTCCTATTGACTTGTCCACTGAATCCTCCTCATCCTTTCTCTCTGACTCGGATCCTCTCCATCACCTGCTGTGCACCACTTTCAGACATGAGATATTTACCGTTACAAACATCTTGTCAGTAACATGAATTATTACTTTTTTAAATGCCTGTAATAATCGGTTCATGTCTGCACTGTTTCACCTGCCCTCATGATTCACCTATTTGCGAACACGCCCTAAAGTAATCGCTCTCCGAGACGTGCAATTATGTGAATTTAGGAAACCTTTTTAAGAAGTTGGACGTACTTTGATGCCAAAGAAACAAATATCATGGCGGCGGCGCCTGACACATTCCTGCTGTAGGGAAAAAACAGACGCTCCTTGGAGGAAATTCCTTGAGGAAAATTGCAGTTCTTTTTCAGCTCAACCCTACCTCAGCCTTGTGTCCTGATTCCTTCCCAAAGTCTGCCTTTATGCCATTTTAAAATCCCTGTTATTGATATTATTGACCCAACGTACCCACGATGAAGACCTAACCCTAACCCAAGAGAATACTGCACATGTATCTTTGCCACGTTCTATTTGTGTTGCACTGGTTTTTGAATGAAAGTTGCTTTTTCTCTTCGACTTGTAACATGTTTGTGGATGTTATAAAGGTCTTAAAAGCAAACACATTAATCCTGTGTGTTGTTTGTTCCAACAGGAAGGCCAGCCTCATCCTCTCCCAGCTAGATGAACTCTCTCCGTGGTGCAAGGGCCTTCTCCAGGAGCCGAAGATCGGCCTTCGCAGGATGTCCCTCAAATTCCTGTCCTGCCGTTACACTGACACCAAGGCTTTTGGGCTGAACTGGTCGGACATGGGCCAGGACGTCCACAAGGCCTGCGACGAGCAGACGCTCACTGTCATGTACAATGACTATGGTGAGCCCAAGGAGCTCTAAAGGTATTCGGAGGTTTCAGCTTAGATGTGCACAGGAATATGGGAGATTCGTCAAACCCAACAAAGTAAATAAAAGCAAATAAAATGCAGGTTTGTTCCATTTGTTTCCATAATATATATGCAAAGATATTTTATTCATGGTGTCAAATGCTAAATATTCATTGAAATTCAATTTATTCTATTATGCTTTACCACATTCAAAAATCTAATCATAGCTTGCAGGTAGGAGAGAGTCTGATGATCATGAAGTCCATTCCTCCTCTGCAATGAAATTCAACACAAACTTGACACATTCTGCAGATGCTTCACAATAAAAGCCTTCCTTGCTTAATGCCTCATCAACTCTAATTGGGTCCTTCATTGCTGTACAAGACAAAATAATGATACATATTTTCCTTATGCATCAAAATAGTTTGGACTGAAGCCGGAAGTCTGAGAAAAAGAAATGAAGCTTTAACTGTGAAGCAGCTGCATGAGATGGGATTGTTTACTTAGCGACCGAGGCTAACTGGTTATCTCATTCATTTTAAATTTAAGTTTTATATTCAGTTGTGCCATTAAATGCAAATATCTTAGTGGGAATAAACATGAGAACATGCATTTTATTTCACTTTATTTCTTTGTTGGATCAAACAATCTCCGTCTCAAATCTTTGATACTGAAAGAGCATGCTTTTTTTTCTTCTTTTTTTTTACCCTTTATTTTTAATTGTGTAGTTTAGACCTGAAAGTCGTTTCATTTGACTTCTTCATATTCAGTGAGATATTCAGATCTGGGACATGAAGGGTTACACATCGGCTCCTTTGTGCCTGTTTAAATCCAAACTCAGTCATATCTTCAGAAATAATAAAAACTTGTAAAAGGCAACTCTTGATGTCAAAGAAGTGGTCGAACAAATCTGTAGTGATAGTGACTTTGTCGCCATCCCACATCCACCCGACAGCCTGGACACAGTGGGTTGCTTCTTCTCCTGATCTGAAATCAGTGCTTTGTTTCTTTGAAATGTTACACGGAGAGAAACTGACCCAGGAGAGACCGGACGCTGAAAAGATTCTCCACCTAGAACTCACCGTAGCTTTAGTTTCACCGGTACATTCCACTGTTAAACGTGTTGGTGGTTCACGGCGTCTGGTGCTCGTTGTTTGCATTTACTGTGAAACTGCAACACACTCAGCAGCTGGTGTGTGTGTGTGTGTGTGTGTGTGTGTGTGTGTGTGTGTGTGTGTGTGTGTGTGTGTGCTGCTTAACTGTGTGAGGACAAGCAGTTCTCAACTATCACTATCTCTCTTTTTTTTACATATTTTGAATGAATTCGGCCTCACGGACTCGCGCTGTGTCTCGAATCACTTACTTCAGTCGGCACACTCAGAGATAGCACACGGTGTCACAGTAAACTCGCAGGTGTCCTCCTTGAAGATACGTTGGAGGTCAAGTCCATTTTTTTTTTATTTCTATAGCACAAAATCACAAGAGAAGTTATCTCAAGGCGCTTTTCAAATAGAGCAGTTGTAGACTGTATTATACACCATGAGCGAGCGCTTGGCGACAGAGGCGAGGAAGAACTTCGAGCAGAGCCGGACTCAGGGCAGGCGGCCATCTGCCCTCTCCGGTTAGGTCCCTCCACTTCTGCTACGTAACCAAGATGGCGACCGTTGAGTGTGAGAGGAGAGAGGTGTCCATCAGTTTGCCCGTTTTGAGTGCACCACCATCGTGCACTCAAAACGGCGAGTGTGAGCTCAGAAGTACGTGAACTGAGACGCAGCTTCATACTTGTTTTTTGTCACTTAGACGTGTTGAACCGTTAATGCAGTGACAGATACGTGAGGACTCGTCATGTAGCGACGACGGAAACAAAGCCGGTATTTCACAGTTCCTCCGTGTGTCTGTGAGAGATAACAGATAATAACAGAGGACGGTCTTCTGGGAGTTATTTTAGCAGGACAAACATTCAAAATGAACCTTGTACATAACATTATCATAACGTTTTAGCGATATAACCTGCTGAATGTAGTATTGATAGTTTAGCATTTGTAAAGGAAGCTGTTTAAAGGAGTTTTTACTAAACGACAGGCATCACAGTGCGGTTCATTATCTCTACATGTTCAGTGGCACCTGCCGAAAACATTTGACAGTATTTTCTTTTATCATTTTTTTTTTTTTTTACAGTTTTCACACCAGAACTAATCCAACCAATCAGCTCTGTTAAAAGTGATAATTCTGTATTAAACCTGCGAATTAACAGTGTCTTAATGTTTTCCAGCTGCTTCTCTCTGTTTAAACTTCATCCAATAAAGTTAAGTCTTTAGAAAGATCTTTCTGATCACTTCCACTGATACCGTGTTTATTGTGACTATATTTTTTATTCTCTTCATGTGTCATGTTATTATTCTATGTTACTTTATTACAGTGCGGTGGACATATTGGAGATTGATGTCAAAGAAATCCAAATGCATAGTAGTTGTTGATTTTTTTAACAAATCTCATATGTGAATACTAAAACGAAAGCTTGTAGATTTTTGTATAAGCAGCAGAGTATTTCATAAAAGCATCACATTCTAGCACAGCACTGGGTTTTAATTCTGTATATAAATGTACAACAGGTGATATTTTACAGCATTTCTGTGTGCTTTAGTAGACGCAATATTGTCCTGTAATATCTGCTGTGTAGCTCGGTCTTTGTAATCAGATCAATCCACTGATTCCAGTTTGAAAGTAACAAGCAGAAGGTGTCGCTTTGATCTGACTGTGATTCAGTCACTGGTTTAAACTGGACTCAACGTTTGTCATCAGCTGCGAGTGACTGGTTGATTAAAAGACCACGAGATCATTTCATCTAACACAATGGCACAATAACAAACAATTACTGAGTGGAGATGTATAGGAAAACGAGATGGAGATCTACTATCTGCATGATATAATTCTGTCTATACTGTATGTGGCATCATAAACTTTTTCACTTTGGTCTTTGCTACTTCAAAGAACAATAAAGAATATATTATGAAAAGTGGCTGTATAAACATTTCTGACTGTTTTTCAGACGCTCATGGAGCCTGTCAGGAGTCGGAAGAAATCTTACTTTTTTAATTCACGTGTACGGAGTTTTCCTCGATGAAGATACGGGCACATCCTATCATCTATACATATCTACATATCTACATATCTACATATCCCGCACGCTGCTCTTTTCTCAGCATCGTGATTCACTCACAATCCAAACGGCTCGGCCTCTGGATCTGTGACTCCTGAGGTGTTTGGATGATCAATAAATCATGATGCTAACCAAGAGCAGTGTGCCGGATATTCTTCTTTTCAAAAGTGATGCGTAGACAAAACATGAACACCCCAGTATTACCGTCATCCTACGGTAGCAATTAGGAACTGAAGGTACAGGTTGTTGCGGTTACCGTGGTCCCGACCCAGACTGTGAGCTGGAGACAAGCAGTTGGTTCCTTTATTTATTCCTTCAATATTACATATTATATTACCATGTGAAGGTGATCCCATTCATTCCATTTGTCCCTTCAACATGTGCGATGCTGTGAACTGAAGCTCCTGAATTGATGCATATGCAGCTGTAATTTATACTCTTTGTGAACCCAATGTATTATTCGCTCCTTCCACTTCTGCAAATAGTTTGTTTTTTTTTTCCCAAATTGAAGCCTGTTTTTATATTACACAGTATATTACCACACAGAAACCAGCTGAATGAGTGCTTTGCAAATAGGAGGAGGACCAAGGAGAAACAAGTCCACCACATGGCTAAATCTAATGTAACAAAGACACAAACAAACTTTATAGTCACAGCGATAAAATTTCAGACATCCGCAGGCCTCTGGTCTCCGACAAGCTCAGAGAAAATGTTGCATCTACTCAGATTTCAAAAGGTTAAGTTGAAGAAAACAAAGCCGAGGCAGAGTTTGATAAACAGCCAAGACACATGTTAAATTGTTCCTTTTCCAAAAACCGTGGAAGTATCGTACCTCCGCAGTTTCTGGGCTTTAATGTTTAGTAATTTATTAACGGTAGAAACACAACGCAGAGCGCGCACAAATCCTCCTTCGGGGTGATTCAGTTATTCTGTCATTTCAAATTAAAAGCCAGCCTCTCTCTGTGGGGTTATCCAAACACACGTGCTCACGCACAGAAATCCACACAGGCGACGTCCCGAGCCAGTGAACGTGAATCAAACAAACTGCCAGGAAACAAATTATAGGGGTCAATATAAAGTTGCTATTTATTTCATATAGAGTATAAAGTACTGTAAAATATCACAAAGAACATGAGTACACTTTTATAGATACAATATTTGGATGGGATACTTGGGATTTCTTTCTAATGGATACCAGAACCTTTCTGACACACAAACATGCAAGCAGGAGAGAGCTGACGTCCCGTGCTGAACTTCACAACAACTCTTTATATTTTTGGCATCTTTTCAATTGGACTCCTTGTTGACTGATTTGTGAAGCAGCCTGACATCTGCTCCTGCTGTGGAAATTCATGATATTTAAGAAGTTCCCTTTTGACATTATGCAGTTTGAATTGTACTCTGCTGTTTGTTGGTTTTTGTTTTTTTTTCCAATTAGATATGATGTTAGATACGGATGACATAACTCATCCAACAAGATTTTTGTGTGTGTGTGTGTGTGTGTGTGTGTGTGTGTGTGTGTGTGTGTAAATACAATCGTCAAAAAAAAAACAAAAACATGTCACTTTTGGCGAGCCCTGTGCACATGCTGTGTGGTACAAATAAATGTCTGTATTACTGGAGTTGAGATATAAATAGTGTTGACTTGTGCGACTAATACGTGATCTAGTAGATATGTTAGGTGATCCAAATATATTAGTCTATACATGTTAGTCTTTACAGATATGTATCCTCTTACAGCTTCATGTAGAAGGATCTGGTGCACGATGATGAAGATTATACGTCATGTCAGTATTAGTATCACTTTTCTTTTTTCTTTTTCTTCTTTTTTTTGTTCTGCCATGAGGACAGAGGGGATTTGGTTTTGAGGTAATATTTCTGTGTAGTGGAATAGAAATTAGACGCCGCTTCTCCTTTGCCCATTTGGCTTTGATTTGATCTGACTAGTCCTCGTTGGGTTTTTGAGGAGCCTGTCATTCAACTTGAGTGAGAGATGTGTTTTGGCTTCGGTGCGATTTAAACGTGGTGCTGAAATAATTCTGTGAGACGCTAATATAGCTAACTGGATGCTACAGCGAACACGTTAAGCAGCAGTAGCCCTTACTGTAAGGTCTGTGCATGTCCTTAACAGGCACAGCCAGTTCTTTTGGTTTCTTTATCCCGAGGCTAATCAAGTCCAGAGAAGTACTTGAATCCATTTACAGTGATTCGATCCAATTATGATGACTTGATTTGTACAGCAGTGGATAAACTGCCTTTTAACCTCATTTGAACTAGACCTCATGGTTTTCTCAGTCGGTCTCCTCATTTTCAAAATGTCATTTTCTCAAACGCGGCAGTCAGGAAAACCCTTAACTCGTTAACAGGAGAGGAAAACACTGTCCATGTGTGCAAGTTATTTGGCTGCGTTCAACACAAGAATCAGATTTTAAACCATCATGTCTGGTGTGTGATGAGCAAGATCGCTTCTGATAAAAATGAAAATGGCCTTTTATTGTATGAAGTCTGATTTCAGTCGCATTCTTCACATTATAAAATGTTTAAAAAAAAAAAAAAAGAATGTTTTTTTTGTTTGTTTGTTGTGGTGTGTAGTCTGCGGTTCAGCTTCTTTCATTCCTCCATCTTATTGCATTCCTCCTCCTCCAGCTCCACCTCCTCCTCCTCCTCCTCCTCCTCCTCCTTCCAACTGCTTGGCTTTGCTCTTATTCTCCTCGGCGTCCGGATCACGGCAAGTGCACTCATCCTGATTGCAGTCCGCCCCAAACTGAATGACCTGTCAGTGAACAAGCACAACATTCAGCACTCGGCGTCTCAAAGCCGCTGCGGATCTTTCAATCTGTGGCTGGATTCAAACGCGACGCGACTTTTTCAGGCCCGTCTGCTGGATAAACCCGGAGAAGACGCATTTCATTCGGTTGTTTTCCCGGTTTCAGACGGTCTGAGATCAAATCTAAAAATCTAAAAATCAGTACGTAAAGTAAGTAAGTGGAACAAAAGCACAGAGAAGAAGTATGAAACGCAGCAGGGTAAAAGGAAATATTACATCAGGACTCTCAGTAAAATTAGAGTCACTAAAATATGCACTAGTTGAGGGGGCTTCCCAATAGGGTTGTTACATTTCAACTGTAGCAAAGAGTACAACTTTGAATGGCAAAAACAGACAATAAAAAATAAATTTGCTTGAACTGGCCGAGCAGCTAGTGAACAGTTCTGTGCTGAAAGGTAAGTACCACTTAGTAACCTGAGAGTGGTCTTAGTAGACTTGTTGTATTTCCTCACAGTTTCAAAGAGAACTCCTACAGCCCCCCGGAGGCCGATAAAGTGCATGATGTCAAATGGTTCAACGTGGCCTTTGAATGGCGAGAAACCTTGAGGGTCTTCGGGAGAAGGAGGGAGGAACGCAGCGCCGTGGAGGTGAACGGATGAACACATGTTAAGAATCAACAACAAGAGGCTGCCAGCTCTCGTCTAGGAAGCGAGCCATCACCACAGGTTGCAAAATAAACTCTGGTGCCCCGCGAAGCAGTCTGTTGCAAGAAATGTAAACATTTGCTCCTGGAGAGAAGGAGTGAGAGGAAGATTGAGAGAAAGAAAGGGAGAGGGAGAAAGGAGAGTGGGAGGCAGAGAAAGAAAATAAGGATGACAGCGAGCGAGGCGAGAAGGAGAGTGGGAGGTAGCAGCTTGTCGGCCTTCACTGCTGATTGCTCTCGCTCTTGGAGGGAGAGAGAGAGAGGGGTGATGGCGAGGTAATAGTTTCGCTGAGGGCTCTCGACGAGGCTGCAGAAGGCCCGGCGTCACTTAAAACGCCAGCAGTCCCATTTAAGACGAACTGACGCAGCCATTAAATGTTTCCTTAACAGCTTCATCTTGACTCAGCGGTGCAGTCACACAACAGCCCGAGCAGCACTCCGCCTCTGATGCCTCCTAACAACCTCTGGAAGGAGCGAGGGGGGCTTGTTTTTGCTTCATCCACAGAAACAAAAGCCAAGTCTTTTGGCTGTTTCCGAGTGTTTGGATTAGTTGCTTCCCTGCTGTTTACTGCAACATATTCATGAACCCAATTCATGTGAAAGGAAAGGTTTCAAAGTAATGAATTCAACCTCGCGAGCAAGCAATCAAACCCAAACCTACAGGGTTCGAATAATAATATATAAAAAAAAAAAAAAAAAAAAAATCATGTCCTCTTCGTCTTCCTTCTGTTCGCTCTTTGCTGCTTTTAGTATTTTGGCTATTTGTCGGACTAGAACACAGACTGCAGTTAACAAATCAAAGGAAGACTGTGTTTCCATAGATGGTGTGGCAGCTCCCATCTTTTTCTTCTGGAGCTTTTCCCTGTTGGCCAATGACTGAATCCCACCTGAATCATCTCTCGTGTATCGCTCCTCCCTTGTCATCGCTGCAGCTATCCCTGTAAATAAAACCAATACTGCCTGAGCTCCATAAAAAGGAGGCAGCTGGCCCGGTTAGACCAATCCAGACACAAATAGATATGAATATTCAAATATTTGATGTGGTTCAGATGCGGGTGACTTGTATTTGCCAGATACTGGAACAGTCCCTTACCAGGCCATGTTTCTTGCGGAACAAAATAAAAAAAAAAAAATTCATATAACTCATATCATCGTCCGTGTGTGTGTGTGTGTGTGTGTGTTTACGTTTTAATACGTTTTGAATCTGCCACAAATTGGCCTGAAATATCTGAAGTCTGAAGTTTTTTTCATGTGTGGCATCAGAGAAAATATGTAAAGTGGGTTACGCTGTGTTAAAAACCTGTAATTTCCTCCACCTGCATAAGTCCAGCCACAGCGAAACAGAGAGTTCTGTAAACAAACCCACCAGCCCCCCCACCCCCACTGCGCCCCACCCCGGCCCCCCACCCCCCAATCACTCTGCTGGAGCCGCGGTGGCAGTCAGGATGCTGACTCTCACGGCGGTTTAGTTCACTTCCTTAGAACGACCTCCGCTCGCCGAGCTGCTGTTTTACAGTGGCCGAGTAAACCGCAGACCGTCAGACACCTCGCTGCTCCCACCCGTATACCCCCCGCCCCCCCCCTTCCCCCTGTAAAAGAGCAGTTAGTGGCAATCTGGCAGCTCATTTATTATGACGGCAGCTACAGACTCGCTGAACTCCTTCTCCATTTAGGAAGGAGCTGCCAGTGAGTCATGGCGTGCTGCGGACATGAAGGAGACAGCCGAGGCTCGGCTAACTGTAGGCCATAGGAATTAATAGGAAGGGCCCCCTGAGTGAGTGTCATGAATATGTGGCTGTACAGTAGCCAAATAGGGTATAGCAAAGGGAGGTGGGGTGAGCTAATTCCCAAACGTCCACATGGGAGAGACGTTCTCATGAAAGCATAGAAAAACAGGAAAAAAAAAAGATGTGTTTATGTAAAAGCAATAGAGGGAATGAGCGGCCTGGTTTCCACCACTGGCCCAACCTGGGCTTGCTCATTATTATTCATACCATTCCTCTTAGCCACCCAATATATACAGCAATCATTTAGAGCAATTAGTGTAATGTGATACATTTGCATCTTGTAGTGCGCACGAACAAGCCATCACCAGGGAGAGTGTGTTAGGACGGATAAACACAAAGATATCCAACATATTCCTCAAACTGATTAGTCCTGCAAGGGATGTTTCTAATTTTAAAGTGATTGGATTAAGATTATAGACCTACATCACACCATGGAGCTCCAACACAAGAAGCTTCTCATCTCCACTAAAGATGCTTGGGACCATCACCAAAATAATAAAACTGGATTTTCACTCTCATCTGCTAAAACTGTTATAGTGCAATAGAAGAAAATCTCATCAGGTTTGTTACGACCATATTCAACTGCCTCGTTCCTTTCTGCAGCGGAGCTATGGCTTAATACGAGAGGCGAGAAAGCGTATAGCAGCATGGGGTAGTGAAAACCTGCTTATTTGCCATTTGAGAGGAAAAGCTAGAGGCTACAAGTCTCCTCTGTTGTTGTAAGTACAGATGTGGGAGACTAAATAGGTGCAGTCGTTAACAGGAGCGCAGGGGAAAGTAGCAGGGATCTGTGTTTGTTTGCTTAGTAGAAGTCTTCTGCGTAGTGGCACAGCGCCTGTGCCAAAAGAGACGGATTTCTACTACTGTAAACAGGAAGAACCTGGCTTTGGGTCCAGCTTCAGCTTCTAAGCTCCATCTTGATTGCAAGATGCAAGCCTGGAGCGAGCCAAACAACACTTTGCCACCTTTCAAAAGGAAGTGGACAGAAATTATAAGTTATAAGTTATATGTGGGAAAAGAATAGCCTTTTTATTATTAAAATAAAAACACAGCGTTGTGAGGAAGAGTGATGAAAGTCAACCTTTCTGTTAATGCGTAAATCTCTCAGACAGGACGAGAAGCACTGGAAACGTCTGTTTGTGTACCTTTCTGGTGGAGAGTGTGGACGGGCAGCAGTCTCCTCCGTCATACTGGCAGTAGGCCCGGTTGTTGGTGGTGTCACACCAGCCATCCCCTCCAAAGGGCTGCACACAAGTTACAAACAAGAGTCAGTGTTATGAACTGAGAAATAATGATAATTTTACCTCACGCAGCATGAAAGGCTGGGAAGCCCAGAGGAAAATACGTGACTCAGCATCCTCCCAGAAAACAGATTTTCAGTGGCATATATTGTTAGGCAATTACATTGTTCGGAGCAAATGTCCATGAAAAAATTCAAAATAAACATTTTACCACAATCAGTTACATGATCACTGTTCAATGCACGAGCAAGCCTGATATATATTTAGCAAAGGGTTCACATGTACTCTGATTTCATGTGGGGTGCAGCAAAACTTTCCCAAGCAGAAGTTAGCACTTAAAGCAGCTCGCCTCGACACGCTGCGTTGAGCCGCCGCAACCGCAGCCACCGTGATTGGCTGCAGCAAAACAAAAGGAGAAGCACCCCACAGTTGTGCGATGACAGTTCGAGATGGCTTTCTAGTCTAAGTATCTACATATGTAATGTGGCTATGCAGACGTGAATATTAGTTAAAAAACTCAAAATTATATATTTTATTGTGTATTGTGTATCTTTTGCTTTGTTGCGAATATCAAGCCGAGGGTTAAATAGGGTTACACGGGGTTAAACAAGTTCAGACAGTATGACGACAAAATACGGGGATGTGCCATGACAAGCTTGTTAACTTAGCCTAGCTAGTCTTTTAGCGATTGCCTTGAGCTAGAATAAAACCAACTGGTCATATGCTTAAGAATTAGCATGATTTGTTTTGCATAGTTAGTTGATTGTACTCCAAGTTAGGCTTTACATGTAAATGATGAACGCTAAGGTAGGCTAACATTAGCTTAATTCTCTAGATAAATATTTGTAAAACCATTAGCATGATTGCGAATGTGAAAGGACGGGACGTTGGACTAGTAGCACACAGAGAGGATGACTCTGTCTGATAAACCCAATGATGTATCCACAGTTATTCACCTTGAAAGTTAGAGTAGGCAGGTACGTGTCTGTGCAGCCGTCAGAACTTCTGTAACTTTGTGATGTCACAACAAAGCAGTCACCACTCTAAGCCACGCCCCTCACCAACCTGTTGTTACTAGAGCTCCAGAGAGAAGCCTGAGAGAGGAGACGTAAAACTACATTGAGATGGTTTTTGGTGTTTAAAACCACAAATATATCTTCTTATGGATCAACACTTCATGTAAAACACAGGAAAAGTCGATTCCCATAATCATACGAGTGTGGTGATAAACAAGTGCATACATGAAAGCTGCTCCGCAAGTAGAAATGGCTTCTTCCACTTTTATGAGGCCATAGAGTAAAAATAATTTCTTTTGGCATTCCAGGATGAAATGATACAAATAATCAATCTCATTTAGCTCACGTTACTTAGAATACCTGTGAATGACAATTCCTCAAACTGTTTTTGTAATGTTCTGGCCTCCGGGAGAAACTGGAGTGGCACGCACATTTGTGGAATTTAAGTTACATAGAATCTGAAATGCGTCATGATGAAAGCCTTTTTAATGTTTTTGACTAAACCTTGAGGGCTTTCCTGAAGTGCCAACAATATGAAAATAAGTGCACGGTGCCAAAGATACTTTTGGCTTTCTGCAGTGGGCTGATGGAGTCATTTCAAAGACTTAGCGTTCTACCTAACCTGCGCAGGGGGAGAGAACAGCTGCTGAGAAGATTTCTGCAGTTTTCTCTTCACTTCAAAGAACTCCCTACTTGACGAATCCCCTTGCCTTTCCCAACTAAACTGCCGTGGCATAAATAAATCTATTTAATCGTTCTGTTTCTGAGTAAATACTTTACCAGCAATTGTACCAGAAGCCTCACCCAAGTCACTACTACTATGTAAATCTTTGAATTACCTCTATAGTCTGAGGCAGTCATGCATAATACAGACTTGCCGAACCTGATGTTAAGTTTTATTTGAATTTTAAAGATTTCCATAGCTGAGATTTATTGTGGGTTTGATCTCCTTTCCACATGCTCATCTTTCCTCGCTGAAAACTGTTAAAATTTCGCAGACCCTGCGCTTTGCCCTTGTGAGGTTAATTTAGAGGTCAGAGCTCATATAGAGGTTAATTAGTATTTACATTCCCTTCCAGGCAGCATAAACCCCACTCTCAACGGCGACGCATGGACTCATGGAGGGCATTAAACCAGCGAGAGTTGGCTGCGCACCTTAGTCCCGCATGCGTAATTAAAAGGTCAGCTGGTTTGTGTATTAGCTTTATTCCGTAACTCCCTTCAAATCAGTGTAAAAGAGACGTACAAAGCAGCAGCAGCCAACTCCACACCTTGCTAACATAAATATTCCACCTCTTAACGTTGGCTATTTCTAGGGCAGCGTGTGCTGTCATCAGCACCTGCCAAGCTCTTCATCAGAACATTATAAAACACAGATACGAATTCTCGTGAACACTCTTCTGTCAACTAGCAATATATTTATTTTTTACTTCCTACCAAGTATCTGTATCATTCTTTTAATAGCAGACGTTTTATCACCCCCCACCCCCCACCCCCCTCCTCCCTCACCCAGTTCGCCCCCTGTTGCCCAGAGCATGCTGAAAACAGTTGGGGGAGTGTGAGGTTAGCCCTTTTCTGTTCTCCTTGGGACTCAAAAGTGTTTTTCCTTTTGATAGGAAAGGCAGTTCAGGGAGTTCAAGGGAGGTCCGTGTGTGTGTGTGTGTGTGTGTGTGTGTGTGTGTGTGTCCAGGTATTACTCATATTGTGGGGACCGAGATCTGTTTACACATTCTGGGGACTTGTCTTCCTTATGGGGAGAAAAAGCAAGTCCCCGTAAGGTTAAGATCTCAAAGTCTCCAAGACTCCAAGAAGAAGTCAATATAATGAAGTCATGGAGACATGTCATATGTGTGTGTGTTTGTGTGTGTTTGTGTGTGTTTGTGTGTGTGTATAGTATTGGTAGTTCGGGTCTGGAGGTTGTAAAACACAATCCACTACATAGTGTGCCAGGCATCATGGGATATAAGCCATAGTACCTGGTGAGTCACTGGCTATTTTAACAGCGAGGACGACCTCTGGGTGTCGCAGTTTTTGCTGAATTTGAATTTTACAAATATCCCGATGGTTGTGGAAACAGCTTCCTGAACGGTTGTAGTCTCTGGTGTTGTTAGTTTAAGTTTTGATCGGACTTCATGTACATGCCTATAGAAAAACCTGGTTCTCACAAATCTAGCAGTGTAACCTGTATGTTTGTAACCCTTTCACTTTTTTAAAAGGAAACCGAAAATCTTATTTACGTTCTTAATAAATCACGTTACTGCCAAAAATCTGTGAATAAACAGATTACCTAAGTGCACATAAACCCATGACTGAAGTTTCACGCCTGCACTTTAAAATGTCACTCGTTGCCAGCGGCCTGCCAACTTCAGCTGCTTGTGCTTCCTTATGAAAACATGACATGTCACCAGGTCGCCTGTAAGACCCCCTTTTCACAGAAGAACCACTTTATGTCACGGGGACTGCATGTACTGGTGTCATGCTCCCGGTCGAGTGTGTGCAGCTCATACAGTTAGCTGCAGAATAAGGTGCTGTCTACTTCCACAAGTGAACCACTGAAAGGCTTTTACTGTGAACACTGGGGTTACAGACGGATGACTGCTAACTGCTTGCTCTATCCAGTGAGATATATTTTATAGTTAAGATGATTCTTAAACAATCCTAAAACACATTAGCAATGTAGCTAGGAAGTAGACGGGGCACACGCTTCCAGAAGAAGCTCAGAGTCGAGCTGGTAGATTGTCTCAGTGGTTACGTCTTGATTAACTCCCTCTGGAGATATTCCTGCCACTTCCAACTGGAAGATTCAAGGGAGACACGAGGGAAGACCCAGAGATAATATCTAGTGAATAGCCTGCAAACAGAAGTGTAGGACCCCCCCCCCCCCCCCCCCTCCCCCAAACAACTGGAAGATGTGGTTAGGGCAATGTATATCTGACCTACTCTGTTGAGTCTGTTCCCACCACAAATTGGACCTGGATAAGTTGCTGAGAATGGATGGTTGGATAATTCACCCAAGGGAAAATCACTGAAGTAGAATCCATCCATTTACAGACTCATATAATATATGTAGGAATATATGAAGACTTTGAAAGAATTTGATAAATGGTATTAAGTGTATTTTGTCATAATAAGTGTATGAATTATCCTTGACCTTGATGTTTGACCTTTGACCACCAAAATTTGATCGGTTCATCCTCTAGTCCGAGTGAATGTTTGTGCCAAATTCGAAGAGACCCTCTCAAGGCGTTCCTGAGATATCACGTTCACGAGAATGGGACAGACAGACAACCTGAAAAAATCACCTGTGCGGAGGCATAGAAATAAATATCGTGTTATGTGAGGAAAAGCGGGAAATTGTACTCAAAATAGGAACAAACATTGACACTGAGGAACCTACACTGTTTATCCCTTCCCTCGGATACAACTCGTCCGCAGCAGGCCAACCAGACCTCCGTCGTCATGGTAACAACTATATGACCTGTGGGAGTGTACCCGTAGCAGGTGTGCCGGACCTTCGTCGTCGTGGTAACAATAACAAACAGACGGTTAGGGGTTGTGGAGCGGTCATGGTTTGGTTAGGGTTTAGGCACGAAAACTACTTGGTTAGTTTCGGGGGGAAAAGATTTTGTTTTGGGTTAAAATAAGTTCCTGGTTAGACGACCTGGTCATGCGGAACTATTGTGATATAAACTGTACTATAACTAATCCTCATTGTGAAACTTGCTGTTGCTTGTTTCAGATTGGAAAAGCTGCTATACAGCGCTCCATGATGTGATCAAGGGGATTAGCACAGCTTCCACCGACCAAATGGTTAAAATAGATCCCCTTTGCCTAAATGCCTCATATGAAGTGGTGCATGAGTCAATGCGTTTAATTGGCTTGCTGTTACACACTTATCACATTCTTTGTCCTTACTGGTTCAGCAAACATTTTAATTATGCCGTGAAAAGTGTGAAGACACTTCCAGAAAGACACTGTCGGCATAATGTCCTTTTTTTTTTTTTTTTTTTAGAGCACAAAAGTTGATTTTTAAAATATTTGAAAAAGCTCAAGTTTGAAACGCAGCCTCAGCATTTGTACAGGAGGCTACTGTGCCGGTAAGATGTCTGACCCGACTGGTACACTAATTGTCAACCTGGTTTTAAGAAAGAAAGGAAAGAGAGGCAGAGTGAGAGAAAGAAAGAGAAAGTAAGAGAAAGAGAGGGAGAAATGGCATCTGGATGAGATCTGGCATAGAGCATATGCAGCACATGTGGTCTGGTATAATTTACAGTGTTGTCATGGAGGAGCGGGTTATAAGCAACTGTTTTGCCTAGCAACATTCACGGGAAGGTGGAAGGGGAAAATGTAGTGCTGGCAGGTAGGAAGAATATTTTAATACCGTGAGACATCAACAGTTTATGTGTTCCATCAGTAGTTCCAGCCTTTTCTGAACCCAACGGATGAATGCCAAATAAAAACTGGGTTTATGATTTTAGATGATTTACTGTCACTGCTAAAATATTACTGAGCTGAGATGGACGTTAAATTGCAGATTAAACAAACTTTCGTTTATGATAAACACTGCGGAGCACACGAAATATTATGAAAGCGAACAAGTCCAAAAGCCTAAAGTCGCACCACAGCGGCCCCTAGAGGCTGCAATGTTTATCATACTCCACAATACAAAGGTGTTGACTGAACCAACAGTGCCTCACTGTTTCTACTTCTGGAGTGGTGATCAGAGTAGTGGGGAGTTTATCTTGAGGGTGGGGCTAAAGGGAAGACCCTAAGGTAATCAAAGTCATTGATATTTACCCTTGAAAGCCCAAATACGATCAGGACATTTCATGTTAATCTATCAGTTACACTTGTGATAATTCTTGGGTGCAGACAGAAGGTTGATGGTAGCAGATAAAAGCAAATTCTAGCTGTAAATGGAGACCGTTAGATGGTAGTAGAAGGTAGTGAGTGGACCTTGGATTCACAGGGTTAGACTGCAGCTAAGGACCATAGGCACATAAATTAAAGGATGCAGGCTGCATTTTGGAGAGTATTCTATAAGTTGCAACCTAACGCTAAAATCTAAATGTGATTTTTTTTCCCCCTTCATCAACCTACACTCATTCCCCCCATTGTGACAAAGGGAAAACTGTATTTCAGAAATTTTCTTTTGCAAAATTTTAAAAAGGAAAAACTGAAATATCACATTGACATAAGTATTCAGACACTTTGCTGTTACACTTCAAATTTAGCTCAGGTTCCCTCCCGTTTCTCTTGATCATCTGTGAGATGTTTCTACACCTTGATGTGGATCCACCTGTGGTCAATTCAATTGATTGGACATGATTTGTGAAGACACACACCTGTCCATATGAGGTCTCAACAGCTGACGACGCAGATCAGAGCTAAACTCAAAAGCATGAGGAGGAAGGAGCTGCTGCAGAGCTCAGAGACAGGTTTGTGTCGAGGCACTGAAGGTTCCCAAGAAGAGCAGAGGCCTCTCTCATTCTTAAGGGAAGAAGTTTGCAACAACCTGGACTTTTCTTAGACCTGACTGCCCGGCCTAAACTGAGCAAACTTTCTGAACTCCAGAGATCTTGTGTGGCGATGGGAGAAATGTCCAGAAGGACAACCATCACTGCAGCGCTGCAGATCACTGGGCTTACTGGTAGAGTGGCCAGGTGGAAGCCTCTCCTCAGAGAAAGACACATGAAAGCTGCTTGGATTTAGCAAAAAAAAAAAAAAAGGACATAAAGGACTCAAAGACTATGAGAAACAAGATTGTCTAGCGACCTCGATTCTAAGCTTTATGTCTGGAGGAAAACCAGGCACTGTGGGACAGGGAGACTGGCCAGGGATGGATGAAGCTGAACAGAGCAAAGGACAGAGATATACTTAATGAAAACCTGGTGCAGATGACTCAGGACTTGAGGCTGGACCGAAGGTACCAGGTAGAGGGTCTGAATACTTATGTCATATGCACATAACAAAATGTACAGCAATCTGGCTTGTATTTCTGTCGTGGAACTACATGTCGGACGGTGTAATCTTTTGACCCTCCCACCAGTCGGACAATAAAAGGAAACGTCATCGTAGAAATGATTGATGTCTCTATTCTCTTCTGTGTCTCTTTTAACAGTTGCACAGATACTAAACTAGAGTTCAACTTTACCACTAAAAGTATCCAGCTGTTGTTTCCAGTAAAAATCAAATCTATTTCCATTGCAAATGGATGTGAATTTACCATAAATTTGACCTTGTTACTTTGTCAATAAACAGGAAACTTTATCCTGCTAACTTTGTATCACTCACCAGATAGACTGTTTTCAAACCAGGAAGACAGATTTAAAAGCCTTGTGTCAGCCTGAATGATTAATCTAAATCTAACATAATCCAGTGATTAATTTATTTCCCTTTATCAGATAATCCATTAGTGTTGGCAGGGCGTAACAACATTTGGCAATGCCAGGAAAAAAAAAAAAAAAAGGTTCTTTGGACAGATTTGAAAAGGATTCTTGTAAAGTTTAAAGTGTGAGAATATCAATTTCTGCCTGAAATTTGTCATCATGAAATGTGAAGCATATTGCACACTGGCTCTGGTATCTTGAGTGGTGATGACAACAGGGATACAGCGTGTTTTGCTTCATGTTTAATATTGTTGGAAAAGCCTGGCTAGGGCAGTAAATTTAATGCGGTTATGCCCAGAAATGGTGTAATTGTTTTAAGGATTAAGTATTCTGTATCTCAACGTTAATAAAATATCTTTGATAATAATGGGACTGAAGCCTAACTGAGATCCTCCTGACCTCAAGGCTTTTGAAAGCACATACTAGACATGTTATGTAAGAACATATTATACTTACACCTAATATTTGTGAAAAAAAAAGAAGAAGAAGAAGAAGGCACCAGTTGGTTAAACCATAAGTATCAAACAGTGTCTTCACAAAGTGCTTTGGTGCTCGGTTGCTACTACGTGACGAGATAGTATGTGTGCCGTCAGCTTGAATAGATACCCAAGGACAACAGTCTATCACGGAAGCTGGTTCGAATGGTACGTGCAGCCGTAACCACTTTGTTTAACTGGAGTCTTTTACTGCACTAAAACAGAGAGGAGCTTGGGAATTTTTTCAGTGCACAAGCACGTTAGAGGGCGCTGCTTCTTACCCTTAACCTGTGGCTCATGAGTCACAAAAAGCTGCAATCATGGTTGGAGAGAGGCAAGAGAAGAGTGTTTTACCCCATCTTCAAATTTCCAGTGACAACAACCAATTTAGTCTTGAGTCTTCAGTCTGAGTGTTGTTAAACATTGTTGTTATATAATGATAATGATAACTGTCTTATTGCCATAGCAAAACAATAGACAGCGCTATCTAAGGAAGCGTTACCTCCTGGTGTGATGATGATGATGATGTTAAATAACACATGACTTAAGTGGTTGTTGTCACTGTTGCATGCTGGGAAATCTTGAAGATGGTGCACCGGTATTCTCTTGTATAGCAAAGATACGGCTCGTCGTTCCCTGTGCCATCCCACAAAATGATCAGATACAGGAACCTTATCTGCATTCGCACACTGACAACAGTATTTCATCCCCATTCTCTGTGACGTAACTTATGAGCGGGGGGGGGGGTAGTGTATATTTATTTTCATTTTTAAACTGTCACATGCTGCCTTTTGGATCATGTGCTGTAGATGTACTGGCCCCATTGTTTTTCTTCTCTTGCTCATCTCCACCCAATGGTTTCACCCCTTGCATGCCAGACCAGAAAATACATGTGGTTCACATTTTGTGACTCACGAGCCACTGGTATGCCCTCCACTATACCCGGTCCGTGCCCAGGCGCTGACCTGCTGTCGGTCGACAAACATCACAATGGTGACAACAAAAGGGGAAAAAAACAAAACAAAAAAACAACATCTTAAATCTTAACTCAGGCGCTCTCAGCTGCAGTCAATAACTTTGCAGTCCTTGGCCAGATAAAGCATCCACCATGATTAAAATAAACGTTCACTCATTTAATAGTTTCAAAGGCCTAGGTGAGACTGATATCGGGATGGAAGAGTATGCTGTGTTGGCCTTCAATAGGCTTCGTGGATAAATGGACGGAAAGCAGATTGAAGGAATAAAAATACTCCTGTGTTTGATGTGGGACCGCTTGGCTGTTTGGACTCTTACCTCACATGATTGGATGCAGTGGATGTGTTGAGGGTCAGGGTACCACTTCATCATCCCTGTACAGACTATGCTCTGGAAAACAAGAGTACACAAGGTTGAGCAGTGCAGTCACAGGAAACGGGTAAACACCGTAAACACCACTAATATCAAACCGAAAATTCAATCAATGCTGCTGTTTCCGGTCAAATACTGTGAGGGATGAATAACCGAAGACAGAAGACATACAGTTTCTGCTCTTTTTTTTTTTTTTTAAAGTTGAAACTAATTTGACTCACCCAGTTTCAGAGAGATCCGTTTCACAATCAGTAATGGACCTTATGGTGAGGCTGTTTTACCAACTGCTGTTTCCAAGGTCAGAAGAGAACTTTTCAATATCATCTTTCAAGCTAACAAAAGCTCCGGAACAGCTACTAATGGGCCTTTGCGGTGAGATTGCGTTACCGAACCCTGCTTCATGTTTATTCAGAATCAGTGAAACGAGTGAGCGTGACTCAGATCTAAGGATTCTAGGAGTGTTTTGCGGAAATACGTCTATTGGATTATTGAAGCATGTTGTGTATGTTCTGGTCAGACGGTGGAGTGGACATGATTTCTGTGAACAAAAACACAATAAGTACTAGTTCTAGAATCGGCCAGAACCTAGTTTATATGGCTGGACTGTGTTATGATCAATGTCCCAAACTGAGGACGCAGCCAAAGCCTGTAATATGCTAATTAACGTATTCATGATATCATTGATTTGTATTTGCATTCTGCTCAGTGTCATCTGAAAGCAATGGCCGAGGGGGCTGCAGATAAATTGGCTGTTAAATAATTAAATTAACCTGTTAAATATGCCATACATGCTGATGCATTGACAACTTAATTGCTAAACACATTTGAAAGTGAGGTCTTGTCAATTTAGAACGAGTCCATGCAAAGTAAATATAGTATATTAACAGCATCTATTGGTTATTCAAATATTATGTAGAAAATTGTTTTCAGCTTGAATAAAATCTGTCAAGTTCCACCTTTATGACACAGTCAGTTATTTATTGCAGAGTTCTCGTACATGGTTCTTTTCTATGAGTAGTGTGTTTTTCTACCGGACACTCAGGGTTTCAGGGTTTGAGTTAAAAACCGAAGATAGAAGACGTACTGATATAATCCTCTGATGTCCAAAACTAGACTACAATATTTATGTTTTTTTTGTTTTTTTTTACTAAAATGAGATTAAAATATCCAAATATCCACTTTTTTAATTGACTATACACTGACACTAAAAATAAAAGTTATGAGGTTGACTAGATATGACTAAAACTAACATGGGCTTTTGATCTCAGCACCAGGATCTAGACTAAATCTATAATAATAGCTACAAACCAAATGAACCACATGTATACAAGTTATATAAACTGTGCCCCTCATGTGCAAACAGTGAATAATGTCCCTATGTGGTGATTAAAGTCACAGGCGTTTTCTTTGCCAACAGTCCACGAGCACTTGGTTTTACAATGAGCTGTTATATAAAAAATGAACAAGACTTATTCTGTGCAGATATCCTGTTGTTTTCAAGGACATATGCAGTTTCTGCTGTTTGTTATGCATGAAAACCTTGTGATGGAAGAAAAATAATAGTTTTATATAACAATATAAGTGGATGCAAACCTCAAAATTTTGTAAACTTTGGGTGAGGCTGTGGTCATTCATTTGACCCCGGGAATTTACAAGGTGGTTAGAAGATAGCTGATTGACTAACAAATATGGACAGAGAAAGCGGATCCTCCCCTGTGATTTCCTGTGCAGCCCGACCCAGCGAGGGAGACCTGATTCTGAAGTATTTGAGATAACACAATGCCTCGAAATCACAAGGCACCGTCAGAGATATGGTGCAAGAAGCCAGACTTCCATCCAACTATTTGACCTTGGCAAGGGTGGATTAACTGGCTGGCTAACTGACCACCCAAAAGCAAGGCGAAACTGGAGCAGTGTGGGCAACAGTGTTAACGTAGAAGCGATTCCTGAGATATGATATTGGGTAACGGCACCCACCTTCAAAGCAAAACACCAGCACTCCAAATCAGACCCAAAATCTGGCATTCCCCGCAAGTTTGTTCATGGTGACCTGTGTACACCGTGTGTGAGAGATATGTGTGTTTCCTAAAAGGCTTGACGTCAACTGGAACCTTTACTCTCGCTATCTGCCTGTGATTTCCAGTAATGCAAAAACACTTCAATGATAACGAACACGCTCGCATACACAAGAGGTGGATTCTGTTGTGTCATAGTGTGTGATTAGCTGGTGCAGCTGGGAATTAAAAAGTGTTTTCTTAGAAAACTCCAAAACTCGAACACTGTCTTGCCAGTGATTCAGTCAAATATTTGATATGAAACACATTTATACAGATCATGATGGAATCAAAAATCTCTGCTGCTATTTGACTGAGGGGATTCATTTCTAGGTTTTCTCCGTTACTCTGACAGACCTTTGAAGCCGCTTCAAGTCATTTCAATTAAAAACAAATTGCTGGTTATACGTTTTGTTTTATAGTTTCTAGTCTCATACTGAGATTTATACTAACAGTGTTGTTTGTTTATCTAATAGTGATGAGATAAATCCACTTTTCACGACAGTTTTCTGTCGTTTGTACAGACACTGTGGCAGGTCACTTCAGAGGATCTAAGAAAATGATCATCCTGACTCCTGATAAAATAACCCTTGATCTTTATTAGAAATAGCTGGAAATGATCTCACCCCATTAGCTGATTTTACAATACATTTGTTGAAGATTCATAGTTTAAACTACTTATTAAAAAAGGATCATTTTCCCACCTCAGCTCCATTTGAAATATGAATGTGGTAATCATTTATCTCCAGAATAAAAAAAGAGGTGTTAGGGGGCATGAATCTACTGGGACACCTTGTGCTGCAATAGTGTAGTTCATTTCAAAATAAGATCAGTGTGTCAAAGTCATCATCTTTCCTATCACACACAGATTAGCTCTAAACCAGAGGTTTATCTCTCCCAGGGCAGCACGGAGGGACAGATGTGAGACACGTAATCCTTCTCTGAGTCATAACTCAGCCTGATCCGACTGAACACATGAGATCTCACTATTAACGACGTCCGTCACAAATAAGCGTCCAATAGAAATACTTGGAAAACAATAGAAGTCATTAAGAAGATGAAAAGGAACCTGAGAATCTTAGAGATTGTTATTTTACATCCGTGCATACACTGCAAACTTGATCGAGCTGATTCAGCTCCCTTTTAATGGTTTGATGTTGCAATCAAAAAGCAATATTATTTTATCATTAAGGCTCAGAATGTCCCATCAACACTCCCCTGATACTTGTCAAAAGGGGGGGGGGCGGGGGGGCCACAGTGTCAGACCTGCCTTTTCATTGGCGTAGCACCTTTTGCTAAGTTTAGAGCTACGCTTTAAACGATTCACAATCAGGCAAAAACCAGAAAGCCTTTGTCCAGAGATTCAAGGCGGCACTGAGGCTCATAAAGACGAACGAGGTCAGAGACATGAACTTTAATTCAAGAGCCAACAAATAACTGACAAAGTGAGGAGATACGAGTTCAGTTGTAAATATATACGGCAGCAAAATCCACTGTTTTTTTTTTGTTTTTTTTTTTAATGTGGACTGTCCCACAGATGAGTCGTCTTTGTCTTTAACTGTGAATGAACTTTGTGCTTATGAGTAAAGGTGAGTCAGTGTGGCGCAGTAGCTGTTTACTCCATGCTGTTGTTCAGACCACCAGATGTTTGGATGCATTATTCATTCCAATGGGTGTTTTTGTGTAAAAATCTCAGCGCTTGTTTGTCAGCGGATCGGCTTTCACTGCACCCGGAACTGGTCGCATGGCAGCGAGCGAGCAAAACAATAACTGTCTTCTAAAACCTGCCAAGAGTTTCCAAATGGTAGCGCAACCACAATTCACAATATTTAAACCAATCAAGCTATCTCATTTTTCACCACGTCATGTTCATCGTGCAGCATGAAACAGTTTAGAAACAGGTGCAACCCAGTTCTGCAAGCTGATATATACAGTACAACTGAACTGGATCAGATGGACATTAATTAGAAACATATAACTATATTTTATATATTTAATAAAAGTTCTGATTTATGGAGTTTTCAAGGCTGATACAGTTAAGCTGCTGTTGTAAAATAAATAAACCGTCACGATATGTCACCAAAAAAGTCCAAAGAGGACCAGACGGTGTGTTCTGTGTGGTCACAGAAGTCAGCTGCTCTCTCTGTTTACTGTTTTACGAATTGTGGAATTTGTTGTTTGTTTTCCTTCATTTGTGCTTGTTCAAAAAATTAAATTGTTTACATCGTAAATGTCGGTTAGATTGCATCATATATAATCACACAGATTATATATAAAAAAAATGCACTTTGTAGGTGATATTATTGCCATTGTGTTATTTAGTATTCGATGACTCATGGTGCAGAACAGAATAGAAATGAGATGACCTTAAGTGACCTCAAACTGAATCACTGGAGAAAAAAACCAAAGTAGTAGTAGTAGCAGTAACCTGACTCCGCCTCCTCACCTGGACTCTGGTGGGCAGCATCCAGTGCTTTAAAGAGTCAGCTGTGGTGCCATTAGGCAGAACCACGGGGTCACGCAGATCCATGTCCAGAGCCACAATGCATGTTGGGTAGCAAACAGCACCTGCGAGGAAAAGGAAGGAAAAAATACAAATCAAATAACACTTACCTCTAGCCCCCGATTAGCGTCTGTTAGATTTAATCACGTACAAACATTGAGGAAAAGAACAGAACTTCTGAACACACCGTCATCTGTCATCTGCACAACCGGCATTTATCTCAGACTGCCGGTTGTGCAGCCCCTCAGTCGAGCCTCTGAGTGAAACAGGCAATATTAGCTTGGACCTCCTCAAAAGCTCACTTTCTTCTATATGTGAAATATAAGTGTTGACAACAAGATGCTCTACCGCCGCGATTGTTTTGTCTGTCCAGTCGAGCAGTGTGTAACAAGATAAGCCAAAGACCAACAGGCTACTGTGTATGGCTTTATTTTGTTTGACAGAAGGAAAGCAAATATAATCAGGATTGTTTATTTGATATATTAAACTCTCATCCTTCAAAGAGGGTCATGCTCACCAACATCCATCCCCTGGTCACAGCTGTACTCCACAGAGTTGAGATCAGAGGGGCCGGAGCAGGATCCCTGGAGCCTGGAGCACATGGTGAACTCTGCCGTCCATCTCCCGTCTTTAGTGCAGCGAATCTCACTCTGGGCACAGACAAGAGAAAATCGTTTGTTCAGTCAGTTTAGATGAAACCGTAATTTGGCTGTTATTGTTTGACGCCGTGGAGCAGTTGACTAAATGAATGAATGGCTTACTTTCCACATTTGTACGACATCCCTCACAGGGAGAACACTTCAAATGTTATTGTCTTCATGAGAAATATTATATTCTAGAACTGGTTTGACCCTGTTCTCCAGACTTGATGGAAGTGTACGTGTTTAAATACTTTTACAGTTTCAGCCAATGCAGAAGTTTCCTCACACTTGCATGAATAAATGCTGCTGGATTATTCCAAAAATGAATCTTTTTGAAGTCCAGGGCAAAAACACAAGAAAGCAGCAACGCACGTACATGACAAGGTGACAGAGATGCGTGACTGCAGATAAAACCGCAGCTGCTTTGCACACAGTTTGTGGTGTAGAAATGGCTGCAGCTTATCATGTCTGACGTCAAGCAAAATTAGATGAAAAACAAGTTCTGATTTTGACCAGTTCCTTGACGTATTTGTTGTGATTCTCTCTATATTTTCATGGGCGATAAAATCAGTCTTTATAGGTTAATTCACTGCAAAGATGTGAAGATTAGTAGTTGATGATACATACATCTCACCCTGTAAAACTTTTTTATTTGCCCTGGAGAATAGACAGCTGCAGAGATCTTACATTTTCCGTAGCGTCCGAGCACTGCAGGGTGCAGACGGTGTCATAGTACAGGCCATTGGTGCAGGTATACATGCCCTGGAATACGTCCGGCAGGGCTGGACAGGATATCGGCTCACATCCGGTTTCCTCCCACTGACCCCCTTTCAGACACTCCAACCTGAAGTACTTCCTAGAGACAACAGGAGCAAAACGAATACATTTGAAGTGATTCTTAACTCTGTAGCAGGATGTGGCCGATACTTGTACTGCTTTCCTTTCTATAGGTGACAACCTAGTTCTTGTTCAGTGCTAGCTGCTTAGCATGCTAATTTCAATAGAAGAAAAGAAGTGATAGATATAGAAGCAAAACAAGAGTTAACACTGGTGTTGCTTTCCACGTCTGGAGACAGCTCGTGTTAATGCTAACAGTGGCTATGCAGCGATAGCAAAAACTTACACAGAGCACCTTTAAAGCTCTTTCATAGCTGCCGCTGTTCACTTTCACACGTTGGACTAATAAAGCGTCAGGGGTTGTTAAAATGTTTACACATGTTTGAGAACGTGTGACTCATAAAGACACCCAGCTGCAAATGGATCTCTACATAAAATGTACAGATATAACATAATGTAATACAAAACTATAAAATGTGCATTTTTACTGGGTTGATATGACAGTAAAACACAGCAGACATTTGATAGACTGCATTTTAATTAATACAAGAACATACAGCAAGGATAATATAGAATTACTATAAATATATACAGTGGAGTCCAGTGGGGTCTGAGACTACTTTCCCATTCACTTGAATACATATTTATATACATACACACACACATACACACACACACACACACACATATGGTTCATAACTAGTTATACATAGCTGATAGCTGACACCATCTAAGTCTACACATATAAACTACACCACAGGCTGTGTCTCCTTAGAAAAACCCTCATCTCATTAACAACATGTAAACTGCCTTCAGTAATGAGCAGTTACCCGATGAATACAACTGGCAGCGGTAATGACAAGGCCCAGTTAGCAGCGCTACTTATTTTATTGGGCCCTAACGTCAGCTTGTTCCAAAACCAGAACTGTTGCTCTGCAGAAGATGAACCTTTCTGCACCCATCCACACTGAAAAACTTTGAGGTTGGGGGTCTGGGTGTCCACATGATGCACTGTAAAATATTAGAGGAGCGTACTGTTGTTTGTTGCTTTACTAGTATTTAAAGGTTTCCCACAGTCCACAATACGTGGTTATAGTGCATTGTTCCTGCAGTTATACATTAAGTTATAATAAGGTATATAATATACCTGAAATAATTAATCCCCTCGATAATTTAAGGCGTCCATTGGAAAGAAGTAAATATGAGTGATGCAAGCATGACTGCCTCAACAAACCCTGGCAGCAGTTGTGCTATTCTCTGTCCACGGAGACGCCAGCAGTCCCTCATCACTTACCTTGGTGTCTTCTTTTTGAGGCTCCCTATTACATAGAAGCCTGGGTTGCATTTGTAACGGCAGACGGAGCCAACATCGTGCCCCGAGGCCGTACAGTCTGCTGTTAGCAGCTTGGCATCGGGTATGCTTGGGACCTCTGGACACTCTATCTTGCAGTAGGCCTCTGGGAAAGACCACAGACCGTCTTCCAAACACACCAACCTGTCACTGTCACCTGAGGAAGAGAAGAGGGGCGAAGGAGGGGGAGGGGAGGAACTCAATAGTGTAGTCGGACAGAGAGAGGAAAGTGTAACTACCGCAATTGTGCAACCTGCATAAACCTTCGCATCAAACTTGCAGTTGTGTGGTGCATGTTGTCATGTTTTATGGTGCTTCTTTTATTGATACGCTTGCATGACCTCCATAGAATCACGTTCTCACCTGTGTTGATTGATGAGGTCGATGATCATTGGATATTAGAAAAAAGTTTTGCCAGTGCCGAAAATAAACTGTGCAATGACTATGTAACGTTTGCTGAGCAGTGCGACAACTGAACCTCGAGTGGTAATTACAGGATAATGTATTGTTTTTGAGTCGGTTTCTTTAAAGAATTCATTATCAGGCCAATTAACTGAGAGTGGGGAAACAACGTAAATCTCCAGGTGTGCTCACTTCCTGTTTTTCTTAGGAGATAAAACCCTTGAAATGTTCATCTGTGACAAGCTAAACCTGCGTGAACCAACACCAGAAGTAGAGAAGAGTCAGAACAAAGCAAACTGATGGTAACGTCAGTAACATATTATAAACCTGCCTGAAGCAAATACATCAGCTAACATTACCCTGTAAGATACTGGTCACACCAGACCAAGTAAAGCTGCAGCAGTGTGTTGAATTCCCCCTAACCTTTACGAGCTGAACTTAACGTTTAACAAGAGGAAGATTGTGCGAGTTATTTTTACACTTTAAAACATACATTAACAGGAGTAATATATTCTGCACTTTACAGCTACAAGACAGAGGAGTAGATGCGAGAAGCACAAGTAGGTCAACATCATGGATTCATTTCTGTCAAACGAGGAGACGGAGACTATGGCTTCAGCATCGCCCAGAGCTAATATTTTCTATATGTGTATGGCCCCACATGAAGCACGAGCGTTGGTATGTGCGGAGAATCATAACACCCAAAAGCTTTTGCAATTTTTTACAGAGTCTATAAAAATGTAATGAATCTTTAACATGGCATCACATTTTTTTTTTTATAAGCTAATTAAACATCGCGCCGGTGTTGTGTTTATCGAAAATCCATTACAGCTGCACTGGTGTGCACTGAACCTATTCTGTGTGAACTGCACAGTGTGCTTTCCACTGCTGAGTGATACATGATGGCCCTCAAACATATTTCACCCAACCAAAAGCCACAAATAGAATTATATCTGCGCAATCTGTATTTAGATCATGAATACGTGGGTCTTACTGCTGACTCTACCGAGACATTCGAGCGTTCACCGCGGCTTTCCGACCACAAACACAAGTCTGTGGACATCACGCTTGTTCCATCTAATCACTTCAAGAAGCATCTACTACATTGCGTAACTTACATCACTAAAGAGGGGTAATGGTTTTTTATGTTTGTGTGTAGCTATGAATGTGTGCTCGTGTGTGTGTGTGTGTGTGTGTGTGTGTGTGTGTGTGTGTGTGGTGGTACTCCTAATCATGGGTGCCACAGGCGATATTTGTTCTGACTAGTTATGATGCAAGTGGTGTTTTTTAAAAACATTGTGGACATCTGAGGAGAAGGGAAATTGTGCTGTGTGTGTGTGTGTGTGTGTGTGTGTGTGTAGATGTAGTATGTAGATGTTTCTATCAGGCTTCAACGTGAATTTAAACAACTGTAACATTTTACAGGCCGTAAAGCTGTATAGAGGAGCAGTGTGAAGAGCGAGCCTCGTTGAGAGGAGACATGGTTGTGATTTTGTAAATGGCATTTCCACTGTGATTTTATTGCAATACTGTCGATTAGTTCCCCTTGTTTGTTTTTCAAGCTATAATGAGCAGCGTCTTTAACTATAACAATACGCTGTAAAAAACAAGTATCCAGTTATCAGCTGTAATACTTTAAAAATTGCAGTTTAATGTCCATTTCATTTTATGGACTGTGGCTGGTGGAAGCGTCTCGCTGCGGTTTGTCTGTTCACTAGATCGGGATATATTACTCTGCTATGAGTAATATTTAGTTTAAGACGTTTCCCTGTATTCCTGTTTCTGTATCGGCAAGGTGTCCCGTTTATTTTTCCCTGCCTCCCCTCACCTTGTAGTATGGCTGGCGATCCACAGGTGAAGGAGCAGTGTTTGCCGAAGGTGGTTCCCCCGGGGCAGCTGAATATGGCGTGGTAGACGTGAGACTGATCGGGCAGGCCGCAGTCTACAGGCTGACAGCTGACTGCACGATCCCACGAACCATGGAAACACTCCAGCTCTGCTTCTCTCTGAAGAGGAAAGAGAAAGAGACAAAAGATCAGAGCCGGAGCGGGTTTTATATGCCAGTTTGTGCCCTATTACACATCTGAGTTTGTACCTCTATCCACAACATTCCTAAAATTCTGCCTTTGAATTCTGCAGACACTTTCTTGGACTTGGACAGGCAATGTGAAACTGAGCAGACAAGACAGAAAAATCTGTTTGGTTTCCCCATCATTCACAGGAGATGTTATTGAGTTATCCTGGTTTTGGGAGGTAAAAGAGGATGCAACCACAAATGCTGAGTGAGGAGAAGAAAAACAAAATGTTACAAATAGTCGAACAAATTACTGTAGTAGAAGCTGCTGGAAGGAAATACTGTAAGCCCCGTGCCTCTCTCATGCAGCTTTGGTGCTGCCTATCTTGTATCTTGGTTTTTAAAATATGAAAAATAATAACTTAACATTGAAAGGACAGTTTACCTGAGGGGGCGGGGTAACCCTGCCATTGAGGACAGTGATACTGAAACCACGGTGACACTGAACGGAGCAGCGAGAGGCCTCCCCTCCTCCCGTACACCTACGGAGACACACTGATATATAAAGATAGTTCTTTTGGTTGTTGTTTCATTTTTCTCTGGTCCGCTCCGTGTGTTTGATTCCCCGAAGGTTCCTACCTGACGGAGGCGTGCTCCAGCTGAGGAGGGCTGCAGCTCTCCGTCTGACACGGCTGCCGCAAACAGCTATTGCAGGGATAGGGGAGGGGGGAGAAGGGGAGAAGGAGAGGGATGAAAGGCCGGGTGAGACAAAGAAAGCAACTAGGAAGCCTAAACTGATCACTATTTCTGTCTCATCTAATTCGAGTTAGATCAGATTAAAAAAAAAAAATACTCCAAGGTTTTAGGAATTTACCTGTTATGGTAACAGTTCGACAAGAAGTAGCATGCCGCTGTGGAGCTGACTAATGCCTCGCACAGCAATGCCAAGCCTCAATACTGTCTACTGTAAGGCGGACAGCGTAATGCAACATCTGAAATATTTCTTTTTATAACTTTCTTTATCTTCCGTCTTAGATTCAAATGTTTTTTCTTCCACATCTGTTGTCCCCTTTTTTTATCAAGCTCAGTAATGAAAGTGACCAGTCCGTGTGTGTGAAAGCATGCGTGTGTTAAGTAGGTAGCTGTGGGAGAGCCCACCCTCTGATGCGCACCCGGTCAGGGCGAAGGTGCTGAAGTGACAGGAGGTCCTCAGAGCCACGCCTCCCACTGCCACAGAGCGGGAGGAGAAGAGGAGGATGACGGAGGATGTGAGGAAGAAGGGCTGAGAGAGGTCGTGGGTCACATTCACCACCAACGGGTTCCGGTGGCACGAGAGGTCATACTTCCCTGGGTGGAGGAGATGGAAGGGTTTCAGTGGTTGTTTAGCTCCTAACCTGTTTTGGTCTTTTATCAAAGAGCATGATTTTTAAAAATGATCAAACACATACAAATCAGTACAGGTTGAAAAAGTACCTAGTGAGTGGTTTTTGCCAGTAGTATCAGACAGAAAGAGGGTGGCTGTCCTCCGACACTGCTCTCCAGACCACGACCCGTCTGAAGCCAGGTACACCATTACAGAGGCTGCCACTCCAGGATGGACGAATCCCACCTGGATCAACGGTAAAAGGGACAACAATTACACAGAACAGAAATTTGACTTGTTGTTTAACAGATCCTTCAGTATGAGGTCACTGTGCATTAAAAATGTGTTGCATTTCTGCATTACCCCTTCACTGTGCACGGCTTGTATCAGGAGAAAGGGTGCACACGTTACAGTACATTCCAGTGAACTCGACGCTGCATCATTTGGAAGTCAGCCAAGGGTTCTTTGTTGCTCAACTTTTACACCGTGCTTTAGCAACTCCTTCTGGCTGCTCAGTCGCCTGCACAGTGGAGGGTGGAACTGGGAGGACAGTATGAACCTCATGTAGAGCTCCTTTTGGCAGGTGAAAAGCAGCTGGTGACGCACCGTAGATGTGTCTCAATTCAGGGGCTGTATCCTTTCAAAGGCTGACGTGATAAGGTTGTCCTGTTTTCGAAGGTTTCAAATGCGTTTCCCAGTGAAGAATCACTTTTTCAAACAGAGAATATGGCCGACAAATAAAAGGAGAGGATAAATAGGAAATCCTGCAAAGACCAGAACGTCTCATTTCAGTTCGGCCTTTGTAGTTTACATGCTCTTCATAGTCCGCGTCCTCCGAAGGTTGCAGCCCTTGAATTGTGTGTCTCACTCGTGTCAGTCTCTAGTCTTCTCCGGGGGTTAGAAAAGGGGGACAAGGACTGAGCAGGGCAATAACTGAGCATAACAGATGTAGCTCTGCACGAGAGTTCATTGAGTGGCTCTGACCACGAGGAGAGCGCGCCGTAACATGTCCTCACTGCATGATACTGCGGAAGCACGGTAACTGTGTTGTGACTGGAATACAAGTTGACGGTGTTCTCTTGTTCTCTGTTTCAGAACTACACACTTCTCACAGCCACCTGTCAGGCCTGCAGACTGTGAGTGCTTCACGATCAAAAGACTGATTTTGGGGTAAAGTACCACTTCAAAAGACATTTTTCAAGATCTTTTCTTCCAGATGAAGATATAGAACTGTGTGAATGAGACCGACGCCTTTTTAGAGAGCCGGCAGAGATGGATATGACAGAACAGCTGAGAAATGCTTTTCAGATCAATTAAGACAAGATATTTAAGCGAGGGAGGCCTTTCAGAGACAGAGAGAGCACTTCAAGGAAAAAGCCGGCAGACATGGTGTTATAATGAAGCCTTTTCAGACAGTGAAAGAGTCTTTAGGGTGAAGGCGGCCCTCCAGAGAGGTTGCAGAAATGTGTCTGATAAAGAGGGCGTCCATAAAAAAGAAAGAAAGAAAGAAAAAGCAGGGAGTGGAAAAATGAGTCATTCAACAAAGAAGTGGAAATGATGAGAGAGGAAGAAAAAAAAAATGAAAGAGTATGTGCGAGGGAAGGAAAGAGGCGAGCTCCTGACTGTAAAGGACTCTGTAATCCAGAGGATGACGGACAAGGTTGTGAAGCTATCAGTCAAATCAACAGCTAGCCTACGCTTAGTCTGGGCCTGCGGAGTTGATTGTGGGAACTGCGGCTATGGAAAGATTAAATAATACAAAACTACTAAATATGAGAACCAGACACAGGTCTGGAATGGAAAACCAGGTCCAAATACGATGCAGTACACAAACCAGGACATCTACAGTGAAGCGCTGTTGGCTGGAGGACGTTGGAGTCGCAAAGATAAGCTGGGAAATTATGTAAATGAATCACTTTAACTGCAGCAGCGGCTCTTGTAATTGCAATTCTCTGTCAACACAGGCTTTGACAACAAATACAAATGTCATCGATTGGAAATGTTGCTTATTAATCACAAATAAAGAATTAGTTCATGATATGTAACGTTCAAGAATAATGTTTAAATTGTGTTTTTTGTTGCCTTGTATTTTCTGGAGCCGTAATAAATTACAATTATGAATTATGTATTCAAGAGATCTATTTATGATAACAAAATTATTATTATTCCTTCAGATGCCAGTGTTTTAATAACTTCTGAACCTTCTAAGTTTTCAATTATGAATTATGAGTGAATTATATAACACTTCCACTATTAGTAAACTTGTAATGATCATTATTGAAAGATTTCAATGATTAGTATCCTCGCAGTCAAACTTAAAACTACAAATACACAATAAGCACAATGTTAGTCATGATTTGGTAATCATCTACAGATCATTACAACTCATAATTCACAGTTGACCTTGAAAATGAGTGATTATTGTAACCAATGCTTTGTATGAATAATGTATTTGTTATAAAGTGAGGAATGTGTGTGTGTGTGTGTGTGTGTGGAGGTTTGAGCCAGCGGTCTGTGAGAGAGAGGCCCTTCAACCCCATTTTAAAAAAAGAATTGGAAAGTGCTGGACGCTGTCGAAGAGTAGCCACCCACAGTCATTCAGTGGAGGGGAGAACAGATACAGTATGTGCAAACACACACACACACACACACACATACACACACACACACACCTACCTTCAGCCAGAATGAATGTTCCAGGTCATTGTTTGTGTCGGACGGGGCTGTGCAAGGGAACCAGGCGTCGCTGGGCAGTTTCTCACTCACGTCCAGGTGCTGGTACCTGCAGAGCTTCACACCAGACAAAAGAAAACACTCTGCTCATTGTGCAGCAAAAATAACAACTAATCAGCAGTCAGTGATCACTTTATTAGACACATCCACTCCAGACCTTTTAATGTGACGACAACCTCATGTGAAAACTGTTTATTCCATTGTCACGTGATCTAATCTGTGGTATCATCACGATGTAAAGTTTATTGTGGGGCAATAAAAGGTTTACATAAAATCCATTACAGATTTTTGTAGTCATTTTCTAAATTCTGTGAAAGTGTGTTGTGCCTGGAGAAGAGCCGCAGATTCTCTGGTGGTGAAGCAGTCAGCCGGGCCGTGCCGACTTCATTCGGGACACTTTGATTTGTTTTGTTTATCGCACCCTTCTTCCTACAGACACTGTACCGTGAAAAATCCCAGGAGGTTTGCCAGTTCTGAGACGCTGAAACCAGTGTGTCTGACACCAGCGATCCTCCCATGATAAGAGTGGCTTAAATCATGTTCTGCAGGCGGCCGAGCGGAACTTACTTAACTCTGCATCATTTGCACGTGACCTCCTGCGTGGAGGAGCGAGGCTAGACGTGAGCACGTTTCTAAAACGATGACATAATATGGAACGTCGGCAATGGTGGACCCGAGGGGCCTCATATGATTGCAGAAATTTTATGGGAGATGTCAGAGTTGAAAAATGATTGATGTATTTTGTACCTAAGTTGTAAAAAAAGAAAGAAGGGAGTTACGCCGTATTCAAAGTTGCTGTGCTGTCATAGAAAGTTCTGCCAAAATCTCCTCACAAAGTTATGTGCAGAGCCCTTCCTTTCAAGCTTGTCTTTACCGGTCGCTGCTCAGTTTAACTCCCCGAGACCTAAAGAGCTTTGTTGGCACGTTTTTAAATAGTTTTTGCCCTGAGTAAAAACAAGGCTCTTCTCACTATTGTTCTGATCTCTCATTCAAATGTTAGAATAATGTAGCCGATGGAAAGGAAGAGTGAGAGAGGTAAAGGGACCAATCAGGAGAGATTGATTAAAACTGTGTTTTTTAAAATGAAAATAACCTCCGTCCAGACGAGCGTTTTAGTTTCCGCATCAGAAACGATCTCCCTCCTTATTATCGCACCTGAAAACACACATCACACCGATCTGTGTGTATGATGATTCACATATGAACGTATCTGAAAGAAGCACTGATTTGTGAGCAGAGACTGTTGCATTACAACTTCCTGCCACAAGTGGCAGCACTGAAAACAAAAGTATAGTGACTTAAGTGAGGAAGAAATTATGAGTAAATTATCATCTTGAATTTTACATGCATTGTATTGGTTTTAATGTACTTTATTGTGTCTGCGCTCCCATCAGAGGTTGAACTCTCCACAACTGATGAAGAGAAGTTCACCCACCTCTGTCTGGTGTGTTTGTTTTGTTTTTTTTTATATAACTTCGTTAGCACCGAATGCCTGAAACGATGCTTTACTTAACTTCTGGATATTTTGTCTTCTGTGATGATTTAAGCGGTCGCTTCCAGGTTGGGAGAATTTATGTGGACAGAAATAGTACAGAGATGAAGTGCGCTGAGCATCCAAGAAAAGTTGAATCGAGGGCAGTTGGATTTGGTTGTAGATACTTCACCTTTCATCCAGGAGGCCTCTTCAGTTCTGACTGACTGGTGGGGAGAACCCAAGTATTTAACCTCAGGGTCTCCCCCAAAGGCCAAATACCAGGGTCTCCCCGCAAACCTACATCCGAGTCCAACTGCCCTCAGTTTCACTTTTCTTGGATAACCATGACCTGGATGAATCTCCACAGACATGTTAAACGGCTGAAACAACCACGCTGTTTAGAAATGCAGCCAGCTGCTCACATTGTTGCCCCAGAGTTGAGGATTTCACCAACAGCGTCCAGAAGGGGTTTATTATCATCTGGATCTTGTGGTCATTACTTTATACCTCGGTAATACCTTGGTGAGTGACGGCTCCCCGGTGGCGGCGTGGGCAGGGCAGTGGTTGGGGTCCTGGTGGGAAGCGGTGGCGGAGGATGCCCACTGGTCCGTGTAGCCCACAGGTGTAAAGTAACCGCAGTCCTGAACGCTGGAGCCCCGCTCAAACTCCTCACATACACCGTCACCATCAAAAACATAACACTGACTGGGTTCACCTTGGGAGATGGAGACGAGAATGAGAGAGGAGGATTTATGAAAGAATATAAAGCCTGGTTTCTTAATCTGGCAGGGTGTACTCTCATCCCCCACTGTTACACTCCCATCCAAATCTATTTGTCAGTGAACCAAACCTGAGCAAATCTACTCTGTATTTTCGTTGGCCACTTTTAACGTTAGCCACGTCAACTCAGCCGTATCTGACTCTCTGTGCTGTCAACAGACTGTAAATTATGGAAAGAAATGAACTTTGACTTCAATTAATTATTAAAGATCACAATAGTTTTGTAATGTTAACGAGCAGAGCGAGAACCTGCCGTTGTGACTCGACCGGTTAGTTTGATCCTATAAACATCTCGATGGGCCGTTGGTATCCGTGTCATCAGGTAACAACAGCAGCACTATGTGTTACAAAGAGCTGTCAAAGCAGAGTTTAAAAACTCGCTCCAGGTCTGGTAGAAAACAAAACTACAGACAGGAGGATATTGCTTTTTCCTATTATTGTGTCTGCTAATAAATTTAAAATTTAGTAACATTGAGCGTCGGGAAAACAAAACAAAGTCACTCGATACCTGTCCGTGAGAGCTGAACACTTAATCTGCTGCAACAGTATAAACTTATTTTTAAGGTATTCTGTCATTACTGCACAGCTGACGATAGAGCACGACAGGAAATGAGGGTCTGCCTCGTTTTAGTCGATAAAGATCTTCACTGACAAACGTGTAATTCATCTGCAGAGAGAGAATACTGGAGAAATATTTTTCATGTTTTAACATGAATTTTAAAAAGTCATGCCAACAAGATTTTTTTGAACTGAATGAAACATTTCTCCTGAGTATGTACAGGATGTTTCATACCTTCATAAAAGCCCCACAGATCACCAATATTTAAGGCTGTTCATGGTGTAGGAAAGAACATGTAATTTAAAGCAAGTCTTTATGTAGACAAAAAAAAATCTGAGGTCAAGCTCCACTTACCAGCTTTTCTGTAGCTTTGAACCACATCTCACTATTCTTTATTAGTGGATGGAGTTTGCTCATTTGACATGGATACAGCTTGGCAAAGTTGAGCCGTTTTTGCTTTTGCTTTGTTTTTCTCGAGCTACTATTTCCAAGGTCAAGAAGGAACTTTCACATTCAAGTTTTCATCTACTTTTTGGTTTGATTTAGTGTAAGATATCCAGCAGAAAGGTTCTCAGTCTGGCTCTTCAGTGCCCTGGAATAAGCTCAAAGATGCTTTAAGATTTTGGTAAGAGCTAAAAGTAATATATAGTAAAAAATAAAACCCCAACAATTACAATAAAACCAGATAAAGTCAGACCTTGGTCATAATTACTTTCCCAAAAAAGGTTCTCTCTAGGAATTTTAGACTTTGGAAAAGATGTAATTGACGTAAGTTGAAGGAAAAAATAGGCCATTAAACTCCCTGTAACACAGTTGTACCTGAGCTCTGAGCGATATAGTGTGTGCAATACAGTAAGGGTATTGACATAATGTACTGCAGAGTGGGAAGCATAAGCTTGAACAACAGCTTGTAAAGCAGCAGCTATTCATAAAAAGGGCGGAAAACACTTCAGAAGTTTGGCCTCATTAAAATCTGGACAGCTGCAGAAGTCAGGCAGACGGAGCCGTGTCAGAGAGTCGGTGCTGCACAATTGGCTTCAATTAGTTGACGGAAACATGTTTCTGATAAAAAGCAAATTAGGCTTAGACAATTCTACGCCATATTGTCATCCTGAGTTCATTTGGCAATACTAGATTAAGTGAACTCACCAAACACTCCACCCCTGCTTTGACAACACCTGTGAAAATGATTAAGTCTTTTTAATTCCAAGTCTTGTATTTTTTAAGCCTTACAACAGAGGACTGATTGACAATCTTTGACTTAACTATTAGGACCATCTGTTTTTTATTAAAGGTCAGCATGCTGTAACCAGATTGTGCAATTTAACCTTCATTTAATCAGGCAGTAAAAAAAAAAATTAAATTAAAAATCTGTATAATCTATTAAAAAAAAACAACCTGAAAGCAGTATTTCATTACAACCATAACAACTGCTGCTTGTCTGTGGCCGGTCCGTGACAAGATGACTGTAAAAGTAGCTGGTGTTGTAACTGCACGACTATAGTAACTTGTATATAAGTCGAACAGCACAAGAGCAAGACAGTTTGGCATGGCGGGAGTTAACTGGGTCAAGCAAATGTGGCAAGAAAACCTAAACAAATATTCTGTCTATGACTAAGAAGTACAACTGAATAATTGGTTTTAAGAGTTGCAATTTGTAAAAACCTGTTTTTGCCAAATTGTTTTCCTTCCTAGTCATGATGTCTTTTATTGTAAAACAAGAGATGTAATAGCTTCAGTCACGGCATGGCTAGCCCTGGTGGGAGACGAGGGGAGGGGAGGGGAGGGGGGGTCGGTCTCTGCTTGTTTCCCCCTGACAAATAAATTGACTGGATGATGGAAATTTTAGCCCTGTAACAAGCTCTCGTAACACCACACATGAATAACTACCATCCAGCTGCCGGTGGAAACAATACATGGCCTAAAAAGGAAGCGACTAACATACTGTCTCATCTCAGCTGACCTGACATATCTTCTTAGCGATATTATGGAATATTCATGAAATCACCCAAAAAAGTTGGACATCATAAAAAGCCACACTTATTCAACTTAGCTGCTGGCGACTGAGGAGCGTTTGGGCAAACATTCCTTTATATGGAGGATGAATTTTAAGGCTGTGGAGGAACACCACATACCACAACAGTGGAGCTGATTCCTTGTGTCAATGTGGCTAATGCCTGCTCTCATCTGGTCCAAGTCTCTCAATGAGAAACAGAGACACTTGGAGACACACGGACGTGTTAGTGCCAGGCCTGCGATGTGTATGAGGCTATTAGGGCCGCCATCACAACATAACGCAATATCCAGTGTGTGTCAGTTAATATACATGAGTAAATAGCTAATTATGTGACATTATGAAATCATGCATGAGGTTCGTGTTCTCAGCGGTCTCCGTCTGGCTTCACCACACTGCATTTTTGAATGTTTACCTAATATTAAGGTCAAAAAAACACATGTTGACAGAGGCGCAGTCTTCCGCCATCTGCTTACAATGCCATATTTTTGGGTAAACTCCCTTCCATGTTGTGCCGTGAGGCTTCTGTTGTGGCCTGCCTGCATGCTTCAGGCTGGGCAAGGGTGCAGACACAAAGTATTGTTGTCCTGTGGTGGAATCGCAGACGATGGGTGCACTCTCTGTGGCTTCTTTGTTTGTCTTCAGACATGTTATGCTGCATGGTTTCTGTGCTTTTCGCTGCCTCTAACACCACCTGGCCCAGGGTCAGCTGATGGGTGAAAAGGGTATATGGGTCGCATGCGAAGAGTTTTACATGCGGATGGTCCGTGTTTTAGCACGTAGCAGTTACTGGTGCTCTGTACACATAATGTGAAAGTGGACAGTCATTGAAAACTTAGAAGACCCTCAAACTGTCTCTATCAGCAATGAGCCAGCAACAGTAAAACTTCACAGGTCACTTTTAACCTTTTGGAAACACAAACAAAACATTAAACGGGAATCTGAAGGTCAGAGTTTAAAATGTTTCTGAGCTTTAACAGGTGAATCTTTTTTTCGGTGACTAAATCTTGAACACCCACCAAGCTGTCTTCTAGCAGCCACATGACTCACTGCACAACAAATTAACTGTTTCTTAATGTCTCTCGTTTTACCATAAATCTCTGGTTGTTTATTCTAAGAACAAATCATGCATTGTAGCCTAAACCTCACCAAAATCAACCTGGCCTAAACCCTAACCACTGTTGCTCTTTCTTGTTGGATACAAAAAGCCCCCACCCCCCACCTCCCCCCTGCATGATTTGATTCTGGCGGTCAGAAACACAAGGTGGCCTCCAATCACTTAACTGTGGGGTTATTGTATAACAATTGTCAGAAGCAAAGGCTTTTACAGCTGGTTATGATCTCTCTCACTGGGGAGAGCTGGCCAATTGTTGCAGATGTGATTTGATAATAAGAAACTTATTACTTACTTTAGATAAAGCATATCAATAAAATAAAAAATGGCAACAGTGTCTAAAACACAACAACTTGTGAGCTGATTTCTGCTCACAAAGTGTCCAATCTGAAACCACAACACGATCTCTGATAAAAATCAATAAACTTCATTTATCAATATTCCCAAAGATTGTATCGGTTCCTTGAAATCTTACGAAGGCCAAAGCTTATTTAATAAAGGAAACATGCCTGACATATGTTTTGAGACTGAACAGTGTACTTTACTGCTGAAAAGTGTTTTTCTGGTGTTTCTGTGCCAGCCTAATGTCAAAATGCTTCAGGTCTCTAAACAAGACTTGTGAGTTAGCAAACCAAAAACTCACTTTTTACCCCTCAGCTCATCTGTTTTCTCTTACGTTGCTGTGATGTTACATTAATGGTTTGTGGAATCAGTTCAAGCCAGAAGCTTTCATGTCTTGTAAATTAAGTTTGATTGGCTTGAATTTTTTTCTAAATGCTGCTGCTTGCACAAACGAGAGAGTTCTGCCTATTTAGTCACTTTCTCTTTCACACTAAAAGTTTATATGGTATTCGTCTTTTACATGTAAGAGAGAGTGAGCAGAGCTGCTGGGTTTGGGATCGTATGATAATAAAAAAAGACTTGCCATTGTTTTGAAAGAAACCCCACAGCTCAATATACTTTCAGCTTTAAAAGGTTCCATGTTTTAAAGGTCAAGAAGTGTTGATCCATGAGGAGATATATTTGTGTTTTTAAGAACCAAAAACTATCTCAATGTAGTTTTACATCTCTTCTCTCAGGCTTCTCTCTAGAGCTCTAGTAAGAACAGGTCGGTGAGCCAATCAGAAGAGAGGATGCTCTGAGCCTCTCTTCTGATTGGCTCACTGTTTCTGAGTTTAAATCCTGAAATCCTGCAAGGTTGGATGGTGGGTCCAGGTGGGCGGGGCTTGGGGTGTGTCTGAGGGCGTTGTTTTGTTGTGACATCACAAAATTACAGAAGTCCTGACGGCTGGTTTTAAGGCTCAGTTTCTGAATACAGGCTGTGTGCATTTCTCTGTGGACTGAGGCTTTGATACTTTCATAGTATTAATATAGAAGCTAGAGCTGATCTATAATTAAAAAAGACAATCTCACTTATATGGGATACTACACTAATATGGGACCTTTAAAATGTCTGTAAACTCAAGATGGACCAGTGAAAGTGAATGAAACTCACTCACCGTTACAGTTGAAGCCCATCTCCTTCTGACATTTCTTAGAGCAGCCGTCCCCATCCAGCAGATTACTGTCATCACATTCTTCTGTCCTACAGAAAGGACCATAATCATCACTTTTAATTCCAATACAATCCCCTATTTTCAAAGTTTGATTAGTCACCACCACCATTAGTCGTGTTAATATATCCACTTTAGTGCACAGACCCTTGTATGCGGCCATCCCCACAGTAGGACTGCCCATGGGTGTAGAGGAGAGGTGAGGAGGGATCGCTGAGGAGACCGTCCGCCTCCACCTGGATTGTGTACTGGTACTCAACTCCCTGCGTTACAGAGCTGGGGAGGAGAGGAGAGGAGAGGAGAGGGAAAAAGAAAAATGGTTTCGTGAGTGCAAAACATTGTGCTTTTTTTTTGGCATAATAAATAAAATTATTAAATAGCAGTCCAAAGTTCGTTATGTTCTTAAAAGGAGCAGAAAGCACGATTCTTACTGCTCTGTATTACAAACTGATCATATAATCTTTACAAGCCTGTTGATCAATACAAGTGACTCATCTCAAAACTAAGAGAGAATTATTGTGGTTATTTGCGCCAGTGTGGTTAACGATGACCTAATTCTCTTGACAACATCATTGCTTTCTTCGTCCTTTGTACTGAGGAAGCTTTGTATTTACTGGTCGCCCCCCCCCCGACAAGTCAACGCTACATTAATCCTGATGGATTCTACAAACAGCCGCTCTCGGGATCGCGGCAACAAAAGTGGAACTTGTACTTACAGTGGCTTCTATCTGTAACCTTGCAGTATCCAGTGACCTTAGAGCCCAACAGCAGGAAGTGTGTGTAACGATACCTTCGCTCCAGTGTCAGGACTATTGATCTGTTTTGGTGGGCTGCGTCTATAAAAAGAGCCTCCTCCCTGTTTTGCAGGCACAGAGCTGCTGCTTCTGTATCACAGATCAGCTCAGCATCTGAGGTGTGTCCAGTTTCTCCAGACTCCACAAATTTCCTTTATTAATTATGGATCAGATAAGTGAAGAATTTGAAAAGCTCCCCTTCGGCTATTTGTATCTATATTTGTCAATATTCTCCAACCATCTGCCCCCATTCCTTTTCTCTCTCTCCGCTCACTCCTTCAGGACCTTTATGTTGAGGTTTAAGTTTCACTTCCACTTCCTCCCTTCATGTCTAATTTCCTCTTAAACTATAAACAAAATTACCATAAAGCATTTTTTTTTGTTTTCAGAAAAGTTGCATAAATGCATTTGACTTTTCTTTTTCTTCTTTATTATCAGTAAATACTAAGTAGTTAAGGAGGCTGCCCGAGGAGTAGCAGGCGTCCCAAAAGTGATAACAGGAATCACAAGCGCTACTGCCAGCAAACAAACCGTCTCCATGGAAACTGTGAAATTTTACTGCTGTAAAATCTCTTTCATTGTTGCAAATTCCTTAACTTTCTTTCATTAACAATGCAAACCATTAAAGAGATTCCGTGCAACACCCTTAAGTAACTCCCTGAGCTAAGGAGAAATTAAAAGTGTCATACTTGAGTAGAAAACTTAAGGTGTCTTGCGCAACCAGCCCCTGGAGAATACTCCACACTGTGCGCACTCCAAGAAAAAAAATAAATGCTTTGGCAACAAGTTCGTACAAAATTTTGTGCAACCATGTCTGAAGGCAGAGGTGTTTACAGCTGTCCCAGAAGGCCAAACTCAGGGGGGGGGAACACACACACTTTCAAACACCTTCATGCTGTTGCAGTCAGTTATACACACCAAAAGTGATGATAGTAGTTGTGTAAAGTATGAAAAAGATACTTTGTGTTGGCGAAACTTGTTAGACGCAGACCCTGCACCCCCATGTCAGACAGATGTGTGTGTGTGTGTGTGTGTGTGGGGGGGGGGGGGGTTCAAATGTAAAAATGTAACTAGACAGTTTAGATGTAACTAAAAAAGTGTCAATCGGACTTTCACACCGACTTCATGCAGTGATTGTCCAGCTGTGCAGGGTCAGGGTCAGGGTCAGGGTCAGGGTCAGGGTCAGGGTCAGGGTCAGGGTCAGGGTCAGGGTCAGGGTTTTCTCTCTTGTTACATGCACCTATTTCTGTCACTTAAACATGCACGCAACCAAATGCAACAGTATTAATGTCTTCCAGGAGAGACTATCTGAAAGTGTGCAGCATTTTCCCCACATTTAAATGATATTGGTTGGGGATAGTGATAAGCTTCAGGTTAGGATGAGGGGAAACAAATATGGAGAGGAAAACAGACTTCACCCCACTCAGATCACTTGTGATTTCCTATCTGGTCAGACAGCATGTCATACGATCTAGTTTTGATCAAGCCGTCCCAAACTGTCTACATCCTCACTGAAGCCAAAATGATGATTTCTTCTCTCATCTTTTGTGTTGTTTTATTCATACAAACTTCATTCATTGGTTCATTCATTTGTTTCAGAATTAGGTTTTCCTTCAACGTACAATCACAGAATACCTGATTAACAAAGATATCTGAAACACTTAGGAGTAAGTGCAGTCTCAAAGCATCAAGTTAGGTGAAAATTCTTTTGTTAATTAAACAGTCCTACTTGTCTCTCTCTCTCTCTGTGTTCCTCTTAGTCAGCCTGTGCTGACCACGGTGCAAGTTCAGCAGGAGGAAACGGCTGAGGACTTGATCCAAGCAGTTACTGGTGTTTATGGCCTCTGCTGCTCACATTTGGTTCATATTCAAAAAAGGAAGAAAAAAAAAAAAGTCTGCTTCTGCTTACTTTGCTTCACCTCTGCGGTGCTGTCGTCTCCCTCTGTCCCCCTTACCTTTCCTCACCCCTCGCCTCTCCTTCCTTCACCCACATTATCCTCCACTTTAAGTTTCATTTCTTGTCTTCAAACCTCTCTTTCCCCCCCACACCTCTGTTTTGTGTCTCTCTGTGCTTATCTACATCTTTTCCAATTCCCTTTGCCTCCACTCTCACTCCTCTTCTTTTTCATCCTCTCTTCCCCCATTATCCCACCCTCTCTTGCTCTCTCCTTTCTCTTCCAAACTCATTGCTCTCAAACACTCTCTTCTCCTCACATCAACCCCTCTCTGCCCTCCTCAGTCCCACATAACTTAATTCCCATCGGTTCTTACATCTTTTTGCACTTAGACACAGCTTGTGTAACATAGGAGACGTGTTCCCTGAAAAATAAACTGTTTTTGAAGCTGTGTCCACCTAACATCTGCCCCGCTCTGTAAAACAGCAACAGCTTCTCAGAAACTCATAATGCCACAACATTTGAAATCAGCCCCAAATGATCTGCAATCATGTGACACGGCAGTCCTAAACTGGCAGGTTCTTATCAGCTTTGGTGCAAAAGTTGTATAACAAGGGATGAGAGTAGAGAGATTTAGGGTATTTTCAGGGAGGGCTGCTTTTTGGTGAGATAAAAACCAAACTGGCTTGTGGCTTTATATTTGGATTCCGGTAATCATTTGGACACCCCACAGTACGAGACAGGAAACAAACTGACTCAACTTAGCCCTGAAACTTCAGCATGCTTTTGATTGAGTATATGCTTGTTGAAACAGATTTGGATCGGTAGCCGCAGCTCGGCATCCCCATGTTGGAAACATTTGTGTTCTGAGCTTTTCAAACAGAACCAGACCCAAACACTTTTAAGAGATGAGCAGATGAGCAGATCTGAGGACACACACACACATACACACTCACACTCATAGGTATGCTGTGGAATTTATACTCCATCTTGGCTCTGAAAAACTTTTTTTTTCTTTCACCCTCAGTCTTATTTCCCTCTGAACTGCTGATGTCTGACAAGCCGGTGTGTGAGTGTTTCTTTGTGTCTGTGTATCCAGCATTAGCAGCGGGCACTGCGTCCATGATATAAATATTCATCCACACCTGAGAGAAAACCAGACTCTGGAACTCGCCTCAAGTGGAGCCCTGAGTATTTTAAGGTGGTTTGGGTGGAAAAAACACCTGTCAATTCCCGTTATGCATTGTGGTTGCCTCTTGCAAAGCAAATCCCTGCCTGATTTATGAACAAAGAATGTCTGTACAACCACACTTCGGGTTGATATAACATTATTGAGTGAAGGTAATTTGCTTATACTGCAAAAAAGCCCTGAAAACATGAAAGCAAAGTAATCTTAGCTGAGTGAACATTTAACATTTACCTGTCAGTGAATGTCTGCTGAGTCTGGGGCAATGAGGCTTTGCCGGTGAAGGGCGGCTGCCGCTGAATCCAGTACAGCATAGGCTGACAGCCAGAGCACAGGGGGCTGCCGGTGCCTGAGGACAACATGGCTGCATCGATCTCCATCTTCTCATCAAAGGTGCAGAGTTTTATTGCAGCGATGGCGACGCTGTGAGTGTCAAGCCGCAAGGTGAGGGGCATGTCACAGAAGACATGCTGGGGTCCAAGGTTAATGCTTTTGCCCGTATCAGTTATCAGCTCTACGTTGGCTATGGCTGGGTTGTCTGGAAAATAATAATAGAGACGGATTAGATAAATACTGTATGTAATTGGATAGAGATCATAGAGACCAAGGGCGTAGGTTTGCTCTCAACATTAATAGGGACGCAACAACCCCGCCATCCCTCCAAAACAAAAAGATTGGCTTTAATACTATCAACCAAACAGTTCATTAACATATGTGGTCTGAATTTACATTCAGGAATGCACATACATGAATGTAATATATGTACATGTGTTGAATTTCAATGTGTGAAATATATGTACATATGAAGTAAAATCATGTTTGTATTTAAAGTATAGCCTATATATGTAAAACGTACATATGAAACCTGTTAGAAATTGGAACAATGTCATATATTGACATATATGTCTAGCTAAGAAAAACATGTATTTTACTATGACTGTTTATATTATAAACATGTGTTACATAAATATATATCCATCCCAAAGCCTGTCAATATATGTTTATATTATATATGTTAATATAAAACAGAAACTTGTATGTTTAAATTTCAATAAGAATTTTTTTTTAAAAATCATATACAAACATGTCATAAGGCATTAAAATGTAAAAAAAAAAATCATAGTATATAAAGGAATAAAGACGCCATGTGAGACATAAAAATGTCAAAATAGGTCTTAGTATAGTAAGTCATAAAAACGTCATACTACAGTGAGTCAAAAAAATGTCAAAAAACCTCATAGTATATTGACACATAAAAATATTTTAAAAAGTCATACTATAGTAAGGCATAAGGCATAAAATTGTCAAAAGTGTCATATTATGGTAATGCATAAAAAATTCAAAGACTCCATGTTATAATAAGGCATAAAAATGTAAAAAAATATCATAGTATAGTAAGGCATAAAATTGTCAAAGTATAATAAGGAATAAATTTTTTTTTAAAAACGTCATAGTATACTAAGGCATAAAAATTTCAAAAATATCATACTATAGTAATACATAAAAATGTCAAAAAACATCATAGTATAATAAGGCATAAAAACGTCATAGTATAGTAAGGCATAAAAACGTCATAGTATAGTAAGGCATAAAAACGTCATAGTATAGTAAGGCATAAAAACGTCATAGTATAGTAAGGCATAAAAACGTCATAGTATAGTAAGGCATAAAAACGTCATAGTATAGTAAGGCATAAAAACGTCATAGTATAGTAAGGCATAAAAACGTCATAGTATAGTAAGGCATAAAAACGTCATAGTATAGTAAGGCATAAAAACGTCATAGTATAGTAAGGCATAAAAACGTCATAGTATAGTAAGGCATAAAAACGTCATAGTATAGTAAGGCATAAAAACGTCATAGTATAGTAAGGCATAAAAACGTCATAGTATAGTAAGGCATAAAAACGTCATAGTATAGTAAGGCATAAAAACGTCATAGTATAGTAAGGCATAAAAACGTCATAGTATAGTAAGGCATAAAAACGTCATAGTATAGTAAGGCATAAAAACGTCATAGTATAGTAAGGCATAAAAACGTCATAGTATAGTAAGGCATAAAAACGTCATAGTATAGTAAGGCATAAAAACGTCATAGTATAGTAAGGCATAAAAACGTCATAGTATAGTAAGGCATAAAAACGTCATAGTATAGTAAGGCATAAAAACGTCATAGTATAGTAAGGCATAAAAACGTCATAGTATAGTAAGGCATAAAAACGTCATAGTATAGTAAGGCATAAAAACGTCATAGTATAGTAAGGCATAAAAACGTCATAGTATAGTAAGGCATAAAAACGTCATAGTATAGTAAGGCATAAAAACGTCATAGTATAGTAAGGCATAAAAACGTCATAGTATAGTAAGGCATAAAAACGTCATAGTATAGTAAGGCATAAAAACGTCATAGTATAGTAAGGCATAAAAACGTCATAGTATAGTAAGGCATAAAAACGTCATAGTATAGTAAGGCATAAAAACGTCATAGTATAGTAAGGCATAAAAACGTCATAGTATAGTAAGGCATAAAAACGTCATAGTATAGTAAGGCATAAAAACGTCATAGTATAGTAAGGCATAAAAACGTCATAGTATAGTAAGGCATAAAAACGTCATAGTATAGTAAGGCATAAAAACGTCATAGTATAGTAAGGCATAAAAACGTCATAGTATAGTAAGGCATAAAAACGTCATAGTATAGTAAGGCATAAAAACGTCATAGTATAGTAAGGCATAAAAACGTCATAGTATAGTAAGGCATAAAAACGTCATAGTATAGTAAGGCATAAAAACGTCATAGTATAGTAAGGCATAAAAACGTCATAGTATAGTAAGGCATAAAAACGTCATAGTATAGTAAGGCATAAAAACGTCATAGTATAGTAAGGCATAAAAACGTCATAGTATAGTAAGGCATAAAAACGTCATAGTATAGTAAGGCATAAAAACGTCATAGTATAGTAAGGCATAAAAACGTCATAGTATAGTAAGGCATAAAAACGTCATAGTATAGTAAGGCATAAAAACGTCATAGTATAGTAAGGCATAAAAACGTCATAGTATAGTAAGGCATAAAAACGTCATAGTATAGTAAGGCATAAAAACGTCATAGTATAGTAAGGCATAAAAACGTCATAGTATAGTAAGGCATAAAAACGTCATAGTATAGTAAGGCATAAAAACGTCATAGTATAGTAAGGCATAAAAACGTCATAGTATAGTAAGGCATAAAAACGTCATAGTATAGTAAGGCATAAAAACGTCATAGTATAGTAAGGCATAAAAACGTCATAGTATAGTAAGGCATAAAAACGTCATAGTATAGTAAGGCATAAAAACGTCATAGTATAGTAAGGCATAAAAACGTCATAGTATAGTAAGGCATAAAAACGTCATAGTATAGTAAGGCATGAAAATGTCAAAAAATGTCATAGTATAGTAAGGCAAAAGATTGTCAAAGTATGATAAGGAATAAAAATGTCAAAAAAAACGTCATAGTATAGTAAGGCATAAAAACATCATAGTATCGTAAGGCATAAAAATGTGGAAAAAAGTCATAGTATAGTAAGGCATAAAATTGTCAAAGTATAATAAGGAATAAAAATGTCAAAAAAATGTCATAGTATAGTAAGGCATAAAAATGTCAAAATACGTCATACTATAGTAATGCATAAAAATGTCAAAAAACGTCATAGTATAGTAAGGCTTAAAAATGTCCAAAAACGTCATAGTATAGTAAGGCATAAAAATGTGAAAAAAGCCATAGTATAGTAAGGCCTAAAATTGTCAAAGTATAATAAGGAATAAAAATGTAAAAAAAAACGTCATAGTATAGTAAGGCATAAAAACGTCAAAAAACGTCATTGTGTATTAATGCATAAAAATGTCCAAAAACGTCATACTATCGTAAGGCATAAAAATGTGGAAAAAAATCATAGTACAGTAAGGCATAAAATTGTCAAAGTATAATAAGGCATAAAATTTTAAAAAAAACGTCATAGTATAGTGAGGCATAAAAATG